GTGACACGTTTAAGACCTGAAGTAACACATGCTTACTAGGCTTCAGGTCAAAACTGGGAGCATTGAAACCCAGCATTAAATTTGATAATTATTTTAATATATTTAATTTAATTTATATTTAATCTGATAATTTAGCAAAGAGCTATTACAAGAAAGTAAGAAATTAATGTTTAACAGGATACGAATGTAACCCCGACAGATGAAATTTATGGTAAATAAGCGGTTCAAGACAAAACGCTTATCGTACCAACAAACCCTAAAAACAAATGATCCCGAAACTACCGTTTCTTTCTGGAAATATGTAAAAATATAAATTGAATATTCCTATGCCGGGTTATTTTGATTCAAGCAATTGGAAGTATCCAAATATAAAGCTTACTTCAATCGTTTTATCCTCCAACAACTCTGTTTTCGCCCTTCGACTTGAAGAATAATTCTTTAGTTGAGATTTTAAGGGTATTTTAGAATCTTACGTATTCCTTTGCTCGTAGGATGATTATCTATCTGGAAAGAGTCAATACCAAATTTCGACAGTGAGAAATTTTAATCCTTAATTTTATCAGACACACATAAGTTCACGATTCGAGCTAAAGTGTTCCGCAAGGGCTTCTCGAAATTATATCAATTTGGACAACTTAGATTTAAGGTTTTGTACCATTAAAACCATTTGATCTTATACACTCGTTATTTATAATCAAGGATTCCTCTAATAATACAAACAGTAGAGGAGTACACGAGTATGTATAAGGTTTCTTGTCACTAGTTGACGTGTCACATATTTATAAGGATATTTGCTTGTGGTTTGCTAATTTAATCTGCTAGTCAGCGGATAGAATGCTCGTACAAAGGATTTTGGAGGATATCTGCCTTTGCCAAGGTCCAAAAAAGTAAATAACTTAACCTAACTAGACGTGAGGCTATTTTATGGACGGATTAATATAATGTACATGTACCCTAATCGTTGGCCAACTCCAAAAAATACATAAATCTTCATTTAATCACTTCGTAGTACAATTACAAAGGTATAAACTTTCATCAATACATTCAAACAGAATGACGTGAATTTCGCAAGCCAAAATGGCAATATTGATTTTGTAATAAAATTTATAAGATTTTGAGGAGCTTGTAGAAATTTGAAGTCGGGTTGCCCTGTAGGTCGGATAGGTAGTTAACAATTCAGGATGGAAAACCGAAGGGCATCTGTCCAAACTCGGAAACTGGGTCTATTATAAACTTGAAGAGAATCGTAGTACGGTTACGTACATTTTGAAGAACCTGAGTTAAATTACAAAGTTGTAGACCGGTATTAGTTCTGTCGTTATTTTAACAGAAAATCCAACACATTAATTATGTAAATCGGGAAAACTTACAAAAGGTTGTATGTATTTTGGTAATTGCAACTGTTTACAAAATTGCATACCAAATTCAACTAAACACGTTAAAAGTTGTCACATTACATCTGTGCAACGGTTTTTGCGTTTCATTATTTTACATATCCCAAGATTCAAATCAGGGTAAGGAAAACCCCGGGGTTCTGCTATTAAAAACCCATACCCAGGGGTTTCACCTGGGTTTTGCGGGTAGTTGGGGTAGTCAGTGTTTTGGGGGTAAACTGAGTATGTGTCTGTCTCACGTATTAAATAGGTTCTAAAAAAATTTGTTTCAATAATTTCTGAACAAAGCCGCTTACTAATTTCGTTTTCATTAGTAATTAATTTCAAAATTGTTAGTAATGCTTCATTAAATTTGAAAACCCCGACTACCCGTGGGTATTGCTCAGGTTTTCTACCCCAAAACCCACAAAACCCCAAAACCCTGGGGAAGCATACCCAGATTCAAATTGTCCATAGATGTATCATTGGATGATATTCGGACCACAAAATAATTAATTTTGCTTGTTTATGTATTCATAATCGACGTACACATGAGCCAGGCAACTTTTGCTTGCAAATTTTAAGGTTGCGAAAATCATTGATTTTGGTTGGAAGAAAAAAAAAATTGGTCGGGCACTATAAATTTGACCTTAGGCAAAATGGTGAAAGCATCTTCATCCAGGGTGCGGGTGTCCTGATATTGAATTTGTTCTGAGTACTTTACGGCGTGTCACTATGTGTATCCCTTAAACGCAATTACGGAACCGGAAGAGGAACTCGGTAACTTTAATGCTAGCGTTCAACACCCCGGTGATCAAAGGCTTTAACATAACAGTTACGAATAGAAAATTTATTTATGCCGAGCGTGTGTACAAATTTAAAACTGGAGGTATTTTTACATTAATATAAATAGAACCTTTAATCACATTACATGCGTGATAACGTTATGCTATACGCACTCTAAATTTTGAAAATAGACAGCAGCATCGATGCACGGACGTATGTATGTACATAGGTATGAACATCACATTTTACATTGCATATATTTTGACATAGAGTTAATTAATTTAATTTTTTGGGCATACTTTATACCATGAAAGCGTATGGCGTCTGTGCAACCAGGGTTCGGAAAACCCCGGGGTTTTTGCAGAAAAACCCAACCCCGTGGGTTTTTCCGGGGTTTTGGGGGTTTTTGTGGGTTTTTGGGTTTTTGTGGGTTTTTGTGGGTTTTTGTAGATTTTGGGGCAGGTTGAACCAGAATTCCTAAAATTATTTATTAGAGAAAAACTAATTTAATATACGATTTTAACATGCAATTTTAACCGTTATCATTGATTTGGACTATTACATCGAAAATTCATGTTTGAGATGTAAACCTGGAAATATGCAATGATACTTGGAAATTCAAGTCGCAAATGAAAATTCTCAAAATTTCAAGATGAGGCAGAAAAGTTAATTAGCATTGATCTACGTTGTAGTTTAAGGGATTTTGTTTCAATCTGCCTCAAAATCTTACAAAAACCCCGGAAAAACCCACAAAAACCCGCAAAAACCCGCAAAAACCCCATTAAGCATTAGGGTTTTTCCGGAGATTTGATACCCCAAAACCCCAAAAACCCCAACCCACAAAAACCCGGGGTAGCGAACCCTGTGTGCAACTATGTATGTATTAAGTAGAAAGAAAATTGTGATAACTCGAACCACCAAGCACCCTGTTACCAAAAAGGGGTTTATCTTGGTTCGAATAGAGATAATTAGACCGATTCAATAGACCAACTTAACGGTTACAAAATGTAAAACAAGCATGCTTAAAAAGGTACAGATTAGGTCGACTGATAAGATTAATGCGATAGGCACATGGTCACTAAGAATGCGCAAAACAATGTAAATATGTAGGAAAACATCAATACATGCAGACAGAATGACGAGTTTAAGAAATAGGTGCATTTCAAATTACGAAAGTAAGTAATGCTTCACCGGGTAAGGAAGTTATTCCAGAAAATGTCAACTTTACAGTTGGACATTTTTGTACAGCAATCAACCTCAGCATGTAGAAAACCGCACCTCTCCTAACATAACGGTTATAATAGATCCACGTTTTAAAACGCTGAACAGTTTATAAGTATAAATTTCAAGACTGAATTAAGTTGTTTACATTATGTAGTACGATGGGTTTTTGTCAAACCTACGTAATTTTTGTCAAACTTCTTGAAAAATCTGCAATTAAGAACTTCGTACTACAATTACGAAGAACAGTAAGTATGTATGTAAACTAGTCGTTGAAAGGGAAAATAATCAACCGTTTTATTTAATAGATTTGTTCAAGAGATGACAAGTATCCAACTTTGTTCAACATAAAGCGTAAAGGAGGAAGTGGTTGCTGGATCGGTTAAAGTACTTAAAATCATGAGAGATATTTGAATACCCAACAAGTTAACTACAGCGTTTCTTAAAAATCGTTATCTAAATACCTTGACTTTAAATTATAACTTTAAAAAGTAGACAACAAGCGTGAAAAATAAGTAATAAATAAACAGTAATGGCGACTGGAATCAATTTATGCTAACTTCCTGTTTACCGATAGTACTTCCAGAAGTGGGGAAATTTCAGCTGACCAAAGCTACTAAATAATTTATATAAAAAGACAAATATTTAATGGGTAATCTTAAGGTTAAAAATTCCTAAATTAAAGTATTATTACAGAAATACTTTCCAAATACACTAAAATACTAAAAGTAAAATTGCAAATTTTGGACGAAATTTGTCGCAACTTGAGTGGAACTTGGTTTTTATTCCTGTCTTTCATCATCTATTCTGCAGTTGTCCAGGTACAGAATATTTCGTACAATGTGGAAGATATGCGCTATTTTCTCAACGAGTGAGGAAAACGGGGTATTACATATGTGCATAAAACAGTTTGTTTATTACATTGGTATTTTTTAGGAACCCGACTAAGAGAAATAATTTATTTAAAAACTCAAATTACAACGGCTTTACCCTCAATACATGATAGGACCTCTCCATATCATGAAGCCGATATTGCCACGCAAGTTAAGGACGGTAGCTTAAGATGATGGCTTTATGCGTGAAAAACTAATACATAAGTCTACTAAGGGTACCATTTATTTACTGAGCTAAGGAGGTTGATGTCTCATCAATATAAAGAACACATCAACATACATTCACTCTTAAAATAAGTATTGAATTCAGTTATTTACTTGTCAAACAGGCCACATTACACTTATCTTTACGAGTGTATTTATCGACATACTCAAAGAATTGTTCGTCTCATGTCACGATTTTAATGCAAGAGTCTCAACTTTCTCGTACACTTACGTATGTATGTATTAGATATCCACACATTTTCATATTATTTACGGTGTTTGCTTGCTGTGCGAGACAGATTAGTTGGGGATACATATGTGAGTACATATGTACAAACTGAATTAAGGATGCAACTGATATTTTAATTGTAACTTCAATGGTTCAGACGTACCTACATATGCATACTAAGGTATATGTACATATTTACATAAATTCTCAGTTTTTCTTAAGTTTACAGAGTTTGCAAAGGTTATCCTGAGTTGGGTCGGGAAGAAAATAAATTATGCAAGCAGGCACAAAAAGTCATATCTAACTTATTTATTGATAAATACAACATTTATTTTTAAATTAATCACAGTAAATAGCCCAATTGAACATGTACTTAAATTGAATTATTAAATAAAAGCAAGATCACAGAGTCCAGCTCGATAAATAGATTTGCCTTTTTTTAGCAAGAATTAAAATTTTACCATCTCAACAGCCAAACAAAACTGAAATTGACAAATTTTTTTTGGAAGAGAAAGGCTCATATTTTAAATATATAAATAATTTTACATTCTTATTTCCTTAAATTAATACACTTTCTTACAGAAATATTGAACAAATTTCACAGAAAACTTTTTGAAAAAAGTTTTGAAAGTTTTTGAAAATTTACACAGACAAATAAAAATAGGAGGATTTGTGACTCAAAAAAATAAACGACGAGAGATTCCTAAAGAATATTTAACTTGTAGAAAACTAGTTTAATTAAGGATTCGTGACTTTTATTGCACGTCTTGTGTGGAATTTGTAACCTTATAATTTGAGGTACGTAAGTACATTGATAGTTCAAAAGGTTACTTATGTATGTATGACTTTTAATTCGTGATATTAAAATTAATTCGTTTACATAAACTGACCATAAAATGAGTAGATTAATTATTTTGTGAGAATGTGGAGCCTCTTGCGATGCACGTTGTCCGAATTTAGACCCGCAACCCACGACTTGGTTGCTATGACGACCACGGAAAATATTATTATCGATGCCCCGGCCATCCTAAAAAATAAAATAAGAATGATACATTTTTTTAAAATTTTTGTATTCATTTTTTCAAGAATTATTGGCTTTAATTCTAAATTTTTGAAGTGCTTAATTTTTATGAAACCAAACAAATAAATTAATGAATTTTAGTATTGAGTTTTTGAAAAATATGAACAAACAGTTGTTATCGTTTTCGTAAAGTATATGTGGATAAAATAATCCTGTAACAATTTCGAAGAATTATTAATGTAAGAAATTCATGTAGCCCACTTACGAAAATATATCCGGATATATCCCAAAGAATTGGAGTTGCCAAAGGTACGCGAAAATGACCTCGCTACTCCGAATCACCGCGACTGGTCCGGCATTTTCGTATTTGAGTGCCAAAATTATGCAAATCTGTCCCAAAAATGTTAGCACGCACAAAAATCCGATCAAAAATGCGACCCATGTGGTTTCCGGGGCTTTAAGGAGGTTCAAACTCAAGCCAAGGATTCCACTCTGGCCGACCCCCCAACCGCCCCCGACGAGGAGCATGAGGGAAAAGTGGGTCTGTCGGATATTTCGGATCAAAATGAGCAACCCGGAATGGCACGCCATGGATGCCAAGGCCAGCACGACCCCGATCCAGACCTGGAAAAATGATTGATTACAGATTAGAAAGGTTGTGAGAGAGTATTCTTTCCTATTTTGATTGTAATTTTGATGGGAAATGTATTACAGATAAGTTCCCTGGTACTAATTGTGACTCAAAATCAAAGATAAGAAATCTTTAAATATAAAAGTTTCCAAGTGTTAAATGTAAAATGATGTATTTATGAAATTGTTTTATGTATTTTTGTAAATTGTTGAGTACGCGTCTATAATTGCCCCGAGACGTGGTGGTGGTTGCCATGGTGACGTCAGGGTGGGACTTTTGGGTGCGCGTCTCTCTTTGTTAAGTCGTAGTAAGTAAGTAGGTAGAAGAATTCTACACAGTCGAGTTTTAGTCGTTGTCAGAGTCAGACATTTTGGATTTTAGTCGTCGTGGTAGGAAATCAAGAGTAAGAATTGTTAATTCTTTGTTATTGATGTCCACGATTAATTTGTCGTTATAGTTAGTCGCCAATCAACTCGTGTTAGTGCAGAGCTCTGAATTGTGTCGACAATTAGTAGTTTGTTGGAAATAAAATCCAGTTTAAGTAGATAAAATAATCGTATATTCACTCAGTCACTTTCTTTAATTCCAACGGGCAAGGCACAATTAAATATTCGTAAAGACACTATACTCCGGGTAGGTGATAGCTTGGTTTTTACACCAAGTAAAAATACGTTGATTATGTAAATGGATTAATGAACGGAACAGTAAATACATTATTAGTCAAATTAAAAAATGTAAAAATTTCATCAGGTGGCGCATTCAGTTAAAAAATTGTGGCAGATTTCATCTTATTCGGTGGTGCATTAAATTTAACCCATGTTTAATTAGGTAAGTTTGCTGTGTAATATTATTTTTTGGTCTAATGCTCATTCAAATTAGTTCAATTAAATTTATAATTACGATTAAAAACAAAGAATTAATTATTATTTCATCGATTCGTCAATTACTGAGTAATTTACATGTGCAACTACCGCTCATTAAAAAATGGAGACAAAGGCCTTGTGTTTTTCCTAATTTGAAGGTTTGTTTTTGTCATGAAAATAACATCTGCCAAATAACCTCTCAGATTTTGGTATCTAATTTTTTTAACGAACTGCGACCGATCATGAGTGCAGAGTACTTAATGTAAATAGAATTTTTATCCTGAGAAAAAAATATTGTAACCTTGGCGTCATCCGACGTGTCAAAGATGGCATTTGTTAAGAGGGGTGGTCGCGCGATGACGACGACGCCTAGCGCGGCGAGGACGGCGACCACGATGGAGACGACGCCACACTTTTCGCCAAGAAAAATATGCGCGAGCACGGCGACGAGGACGGGCGAGGAGAAGGACACGACCGTCGCGTCAGCCAGGGTGATAAATTCCAGAGAGTAAAAGCGGAAAATTATCGCGGAACAGCCACAAATTCCTTGCATCTGGGAATATTTCAAATTTCAAAATTTCTTTAATTTATTTCTGACTAAATATCTCATTTGGCAAGTTAAATTAATGAATTTGCGATAATACTACAATTCGCCGAGGTCTTAGTAACTTTATAAAATTCGAAAACTCTCTAAACATACAAATAAAATTTTGAAAATATTTTGAAGGATAGTTAAAAGGGCATCATTTCATTGCATAAAAGTTTGTGAAATTATTTTGCAGAACGCGAAGATTGAAAAAAAGCTATAAATGACTGTGAATTGACCCAATATTTCTGTGTAAATAAGTTTTCTTATATTTTAGAAATTTGAAATTTTTCAACTCACCGCATAGACTAAAGTATGTCTCAAATTTTTGACATTGTTGAGCGGCCAAACAGCGTCAAAAACCGGTTCAGCCGTGAAGCAATGAAAATACATGGAAATTGGCACGGCCGGCGCCAAAATTCCGACGTAGCGCCACAAAGTGATACAGAGCGGGTGGTAGTCGTGTTGTTCCCGGAGAACTATGTATTTTAAATTTTACGAGTAAGTTATCAAAATTTGCATAGTATTTATGTAAGAAGACGTATGTAATGCAAAATATTAAAATATGTATGTAACACAATTTTCGGCGTGCTCACGTCAACTTGTTTGTGCACTGATCAAATACATAAAATATTCAAATTTCATAATTAAATTAGGGAACATACATATGTAAATTGTCTAAATTTCGACTACAAATTTAGAAAATTATGAGAATTTTTTGAAATGAATTATTTTAGAAGTTAAAATTCACAGCTACAGTTGATTGGATAATTATTGATTAAAATTAAAGACTCCTGTTAATTTCTCTGTTATTTTTTCAACTCTTTTAAAGCAGACGATTTTGATTATAATATAGATTACTTTGCAAATTTTTGTGGAAGTATTAAATAAAATCTACGGGGATATCTTTTAGTGTATATTTTTTTAAGTTTTGGACCAGTTATTTATAAAGATTACAATTTATTACAATTTATTTCGTTGGAAATGTCGTATTTATATCCTCACCTTTAGCCAAAAGAAGTGTTAGGGAGAAGCAGAGGGAGGACGTTACGCCGAAAATAATCCCGCCAAATTTCCGCCACCCCTCTTTGCTGGAGTGGGAGCGGGAATTCTTTCGAATTTCGACCGGGATTTTGTACTGCATGAACATGGAATCTTTCCGAGAAAGACTTTTCTGCCGACGGTTACCATCCTCGGGTTCGTTTTCTTCCAACAGAATTCCACAATTTCGCACAAATTGGATCGATACCTGGTAAATTTTCGAAATAAAATTACCAAGTTTACAAATTCGTGCAAATATGTATGTATCAAATATTTGCACGACCAATTTTTCATTCAAAGAGAATTAACGAAACTATTTGCAACTGAAAATTACTGTGGGTATACATTTTTGCAATTTACAAATTTTTTTGCTCCTTAGAAAATTTTCATTCTAAAAATAATCCAGGATTAAAATTGAGCTAAATTGTTTGCAAGGTAGGTATAACCAAAAATTTCAGAAGTATATTTATTAGAGAATGCAAAAAATTTTGCGAAATTAAGTGTAAAAAGCAAATTAATATTTTATTCGTATTAATTTTATTTGTATTTATGAACACAAATAATTTCATTTGCAAGCAAACTTTGCATTAATGTAAATAAAATTCAAGTCATAAATACTTACCTTTTCCGGTTCGAAATACTTTGCGAGCATGGGATCGACTTTAATGACGGGGGGAAATAAGTCCTCCTCACGTTTCACCTTCGTCATCGGCATCACTCCTTCCTCCGAGGACAAAAAGGATGCCGTTGCCGGCGCCGAATTTGGCATGTTTGCAATTAATTTTTGCAAAATTTAGCACTAATATCACAACAACATTTTGACGCCAAGTTGATATGTAAATATCACAGCAGACTGGGTAAAACACTTGTTAAAAAAAGTATTAATTTTTTGCATGACATTGCCAATTTTATATTTGGGACTTTAATTAATTCACACGTGCACAATAGTGCATTTCAATGCACAATGTGCATTGAAATAGTTTGCCTTCTTTATTCATAGAAAAATTTTCGGCTTGAGATTGTACGTATAATTTTGGCAAATTCGCAAATTATTCAGACAACGAGTTGAGCATGCTTACGAGTAAAACACGTGGTGACTAAATTCATAATTAATCTGCTAAATTTTTTCTAACAAACGAAAATAAATATAACTTGTAACAATTAATACGTTTCTTAAGTATGTGTTAAAATATTTGTCGTAATTTCGTTAAGATTAAAATATTTGGCGTTAAGATTGCATGGTTTTTGCAAATTCGCAAATTTTGCACACAAGAGTTGAGTTTCACTACATGTACATAAATAAGAAAAAAACCGAATTATCACAGAACCTGACCCATTTTTCTCCCTTCCAGCACAACCACCAACCACCTTCTGTCCCAATCTTGTCTTGCGAGTCCAACTTATTTCTCAACATTCAGATAAGCAGATTCGCCCACGAGTTGGACGAATGTCCAGATAATTTTTGCTCATTTACACATTAATAAAACATTCCAACTCGACATATATACATAAACTTGCTTCTGGGAGGGCTGTGTGCAAAACTGGTAAATTCCTTTCCTGTCCATACACAAGACAAGCAATAACAAAAGACAGTTAAGTGTGGGAGCCGTGCAGGGAGGATGTGATACTCTTTTAAACATAATGTTATGTACAATTTTGAGAAGAAAATGCAGTATGGATTCTAAATTATGTATATAAGTATGTATGCAAATTTTACTAAATCCAGTGCATGTATGTATCGTTAACTTTATAAAGAGCAAGGTTTACTTTGGGAATATTATAATTTAGTTACTATAGGATTTGGAGTGCATTAACTTGCTCTCAAAAGGGTGGCATTATTTTTAAAACGTAGCATACTTTGTGCACGGGCCCACGTGCGAAGTGTGATTGAGCTCGTGTGTAAAGTACGGTGCGAGCAACAAGTTGGGTTCTGTTATTTATGATGCCACGAGCATTTGTGTGCTTACTTACTTCATAAAACCAAGCACATTTACATATGTATGAATGTACGTATTTAGCAATAATGTGAGACAGGGAACAAGTTTGTCTGGTTAAAGTGGAGAGCTCGAGTGCAAGGTCAAGATTGCAAAATTCTGGATTTTCATCACTTTAACTTTACAGTTTCGCACATCTACTTTACACACTTTTTTATGTATGCACTTGTGTCAATTAAGATGCGAATCTTGACCGGTGCAAAGGTGGAGAAGAAATTGATGCCCTTTTTGCAGCGGATTTAGATATGTGTCCGTAAAACCGTAGTAAATGCAATTTTAGATTCTTTCATGCAAATGTAATTTTTGGCACGGCAAAAATTTCGACTGGAAAAAATTTAGGTAATTTGTCGTTGCCAAAATTAGTTGTGAAATAATGTCAAATTAATAGCTTTAGCAATTTTTGTTCCACTCGATACTTTTGTCACAAAAGTTTTGCGGTTCGAAAAATTAACGTTTTTCCTACCCTCATGAAAAGTTAATCTTTGATAGCATTTATTAAACTATTGATGCAGAAAATAATTATTTACATAATTCGCTTCTGCTGAAGTTAGTTTTGGAATAACGTCAAAGTGATTAGCAATCTTTTCCAAAATATTAGTTTCGTACTTACAATGGAGAGGTGTCAGGTGGTGATCGCCAATGTGGACGGGACTAATTTTAAATTGTTCAGGCCCAGAAATAAGCCCACCCGTATTTTTCCGTTTTCCTGAATGGGCATATTTACGCCCGTGGCGGAATTTTCAAGAAAAATTTCAGCTAAAATTCTGATTTTTAAAAACGCTGTAACTTTTCGAATTTTAGCCCGATTTCAAAAATTGAATACAATTTGTGTTCAGAATTACTTCCCTGAAAATATAAAAATTCATTTTCAAGAACCTACAGTGCAGACTTGATATAGCCCGAGTCAGACAAAATTGTGGTTATCACTTAATCCGACTTTTTTGCTTGAAATTTTATTGCAAATTGATTTCAAAAAATATAAAAATTTAAATTGATTTTTCAAATTTAAATTCACATGCTTCGATTAATAACAATTGGCAGACTATTTAACAAATTTCAGCTTGATACGAGGTTTTCAAAAACTCGGTATGGGTCACCCAACAGGGTCCTCCAGATGAAATTTTGTCATATTTTAATTCATATTGTTTCATTAGGAGCAATTATCAACTTGTCTTTAGTAGACAAGTCATTACGAAATTACGAAATGACGAAATTACGATACACAATTTCAGCTCAATTTCACGAATTTGAAAAATTGGTATGGGTCACCCCAAGGGGCCTGTCCAGGTGAAAATGTGTCAAATTTAAATTCATATTCTTTCATTAGTAGCCATTAACAACCTCTGTACCAAATTTCAGCTTCCTACTATAATTTTGATAATTTGGCTCATAATACCCCACCCACCTTTATGACCCCCACCGGTCAATCACTTGACCGATTTCGCCCATCTTCGAACTTAACTCCTCATTTGACCCATACTACATTTGTGCAAAATCTCAAGTCGATCGGATTAGTTTAACGGCAGTTATCGCAAGACAGACAGACAGACGGACAGGCGGACAGACGGACGTGACGGGTACATAAGCCCTGACTCGGGCTAAAAACTCAGAAATGGCATGAAAATATTAAATTTTAAAAATTTTCGAAATCGGGCTGAAATTCGAAAAGTTACAGCGTTTTTAAAAATCAGGATTTTGGCTGAATTTTTTTTTAAATTCCGACACGGGCGTAAATATGCCCATTCAGGAAAACGAAAAAATACGGGTGGGCTTATTTCTGGGCCTGAACAATTTAAAATTAGTCCCGTCCACATTGGCGATAACCACCTGACACCTCCTCATTGTTACATAGTTCCAGAAAATTATGTATGTAAGGTTACATTATATTACACAAAAAATTGCACATGTCTATGTGTCTGACATTGATGCCATTTTAGAAATTTGCATTAATAAAGAATGATTGATTGGGGATAACAGGAGACTGAGGATTAAAATCTATGAGTAACAAAAGCATCATCCAATGCCACCTTAAAAATTTGGGAGGTTCAATGTCTGTCTGACGTTAATGTGCAGCTGTTTTGTCTTAATTCTTTTTGCGTAATTCGTTCAAAAAGGTTTCGTGGAACGAATTGGTAAATGCTAAATACGTATATTAATTTCTGGGTAATTTACGATTTAGTTATCTAATTTAATTTATGTTACACATATTTTATTCCTTAATCCAGCCAAATTTTACAATTTATGGAGTCGATAACTAATCGACTCGTAACTAGTCGTAACTAATTTTCCGAGAAGTTTTATAACATGAATGAAAATTACCACAACAGGTGTTTTCGAACTTTACTTAATTACTGGAATAAAGGGATCGTGTGAAGTGTATGGCACGGATTTTGTTGAAATTTCGGTACTATGCTTAATATGGTTACTGGGACTATTTAATTCCCAAGTTTCAACAAAGTCCGAGCGTTACACTGCAAACAATCGTATCGTAAGTAATTAATTACTTTGTGGTTAAAGATTTAGAATAAAACCATGGAGTTTCTGGTAGAATCAATATCAGATTTTTTTAAGCAGCAATTAAACTGTTAATAATGTCTGCATTTTATATTTTATTGGTGGTCTTGGCACCCACGGTTATCGGGCAGGGTAAGTAATTTACATATGTATGTACAGAGTGGTTCAGAAATATAGGAACTATTTAATATTTCACAAGCTTAATATTTCCAAAAATTAGGCAAAATTTTTATACAGTAAATAATCTGGTAATCCGAAAAGCACAAGTATACGACTATACCAAAGTGGTAATGATAAGTTTTACCGTGTAGTAATGGCTTGGTAATAAAGTTTGACCATCATAGTGACGAATTTTTACTACCTGGTAAAATATTATTACCAAATTTATTACCGAGAAATCATTACCTGCGTGACTTTACCGGATTATTAAGAATGTAGCAGTTTCAGGGTAATTATGAATTTAATTGTAATTATTTTTCCCCTTTCAGAAGCGACCATTTACGACGATGTGTTCTACAACGGAGCCAGCATCCGCGTTCAAATTGGGTCTTGCCGCAACATTTTTGACTTTAATGACCGAGCATCGTCGATAAAGACGGACGCTTGTATTCGGCTCTGGGAGCATGCGGACTGCACCGGGAGACGACTTGATGTTAACTCTCCGGGAGATGACAACCTCGTCAATGACGACTTTAATGATGCTCTAACTTCCGTGAGTGACTGCAGGATTGGGGGCGTCTCGGGTAAATATTTTAATGAGTCTTATTTCGAATCTCAACTTATTTTGCAAATTTGTGAAATTTGGAAAAAATTGGGTTGTGAGAGAACTCGCAAAATGTGGTTTCGAAAATGTGTTTGTATGACTATTATTTTAGGACTGTTACGATGGATTTCTGGAACTTGTCTTGGTGGCGATGGAGTTTGCGAAATAATCTTGCTAAATTATATATGCTTGGTAAATTTGCGAAATAACGGTTCAAAGAAAATTGCCGAATTGGTGGAAAATATGTACGAAAATTTATCGATTTTTGGAAATATTTCCAAGAAAATCGTATAGTTTTCCAGCAACTAAGTTTTTCGCAAAACTTTGCAAGCTATGTTGCTACATATGTTCAAACTGCGAGATTTTTGAATATTGAGTACGCTTTTTATTAATTTTTTTGATAAATCGGCCTTAAATAATTTTGAAAATAATGTTGTTTTTCAGAAAATTTGGAAATTGAGTTTGACTACTCGAAGGATTCCGATCCGCGATTGAAAGAATACGCGAATAAAGTGAAGCCCATCATGCAGTCCTGGTTCCCTCTCCTCCAGAATATTTTGACGACCCCATTTTCTCGTCAGTTGGACAAGCTGAAGGTGAACTTTGACCCGAATTCGGAGCACATTGCGGCTGCGTACTACTGGGAAAAGAGGATCGAGATGAGGTCCAGCTTCGTGACGGAGAACATGGACGACACCGGCGTCATGATTCACGAGTTGACGCACGTGGTTCAGAATCCGCAAGGCAGATGTCCCGGCTGGGTGGTCGAAGGGTTTGCGGAGTACACGAGGAGATGGCACTATGAGCCCAGGACAACTGCCAATAAACCCAGGGCGAGCGATCATATGAATAAAAGTGAGGAAAAATTATTACTAAATAATTACTAATAATTAACCCGCAAATTATGTTGGAGAAAGGATTAAATTCTAGCATTACTTTGTTTTCGAACTTAACGAAATTTAAAAGAATGCAGGAAGTAGTTTCGCAAAAATTATGCGAAACTACAAACTATCCATTTAGACGCAAATAAAGTGGGAAATGATAAAATTCTAGTCTTACTTTATTAGCGAACTTAATGAAATTCTGAATAGTGCTCAAATTTTTCAAAAGTTAAAAATTATTAATGAAGTTGTTAATTATGGAAAATAATTATTTAAGTGTTATTTTATTTACCAAGCTGATGAAATTCCAAATTATGGAGGAAAAGTTATTTAGAAATTTTTGCGAAATTGAAAGTAATTGATTAATGGGATTAAATTAACGACCCCCCTAACATTCTGAATTTTGCCCCCTAAATTTTGGAAATTAACCATCATTGATTTTTGCACCCACATAATTAATTTTTTACTCCCTAAATATCAAACGAATCCCCCTAATAAAATGACCGGGTAAATACTGAAAATCAAGTGTAATTACATATATTTAGATCGGACTTGTCAAGAATACTCAAAATAATTTAAATATTAATCAATGAAAATGATTTGGAGCACTTTGGTGGGCTCCCTGCTTTCCTACTTTCTCTGAGTACCTTCCTGTTTTGATTGAAACATATTAATGTTCATCAGTTGTGAACTACGATCGACATATTGATCAAATGGTTTCAACGCTTGCAACCAAGGAATAAAAAGTGTGTGATACGTCGAAATGACCTTTGAGGTCAAATTGGTGGTGACCGTTGAATTCGGGGGTACTGGGTTAAATTTCCCTTATTGACCGTACTTCAACCTTTATGTTACATTTGGTTTCCTTGCGTGACTTTTGAGGTTAAAATGAAGGTCCCGATTGATTCACCTCTATTTTATTTTAGTCATCACGTGACCTTTTGTGACCATTGTTATCTTCACAGATGTGATCTAGGGTTTTAAATAAAAAGAACAACCCAAAGGTTGAATTGGGTTTTTAGCAATAAATTCAACATTCGACTCAAATGATGTATGATATTATTGAATAACACCAGTTATTGTGGATGTTAACTGATGAACAGTACCATGTCTCAATTCAGGAAACAGGTACATACTCAGAGAAAGAAGGAAAGCAGGGGCCCACCAAAGTGCCCCAAAGCTTTTTCATTAATTAATATTTAAATTATTTTGAGTATTCTTGACAAGTCCGATCTAAATATGTGTAATTGCATTTGATTTTCAGTATTTTTCCGGCCATTTTATTAGGGGGATTCGTTTGATATTTAGGGGGTAAAAAAAGAATTACGTGGGGGCAAAAATCAATGGGGGTTCATTTCTGCAATTTAGGGGGCAAAAACCTAAACATTAGGGGGGTCGTTAATTACATCCCATTGATTAATTCTAAATTAGATGACAAATTAAGTAAGTTGATGTGAAAGGATTACTTTTAGTGATTACTTATGAAGTTGACGCCACAATTATTGTACTAATTAATCTTTGTATTTATTTAGTTGAACCATACCTTGGAGATTGGCTGCTGGCTTATCTGGAGTCTGTGACTGGACCCCCTGGAAAACCGTATATGTACCTGATCAACCGAAAATGTCAGGAGGGAACCTGGTACGACAATTTTATTAAGGACATGACTGGAAAGTCAGAACTGGAATGGTGGAACCAAATGCTAACGGATAATGCTTTTCCATGGAAACGAGTCTAGAAAATTAATATTTGAGACTCACATTTATACATACATAAGAATAAAAACCTGATGCAAATTACAATATAGTATTTTATTCTTTAGCACAGTGAACAACATGGCATATGCTCTAAATTTCAATTGAATATATTGTCTAAATTAAATGATTTAATTACGTATGAACATTGCACATGGATACATGTAAATATGTTTTGTGTTTAAATCTGTTGAGTTTCTCAACGGGGACGCTTTTAGATTTCGAAAGTTTTCCTTCTCGAAAAATCCTTGTTTGCCTAAAAAAATTGTACATACACGGTCGTACATTAGCTCGTATGATGCTTTGTATGTAGCATCCCATCAGAAATGTTCGAAAGTAGAAAAAAAAATTATTTGTGGTCTGATTTACGGTTTGAATGAGGAATACTCAAAACTTAATAGTTTTATTTTTGAGAACAAATGTGCTCGTTAGGATGTTCATTAAGGTTTTCTATTGACTGGGAACTGGTTAAGGGTGATGAAATTTCTGGCCGCCAAAAACACGTGCCCATTTGATTAACATTGCGAGCGGGCTGAAATTCAAATCCAATCCATCACCCTTAATCAGTTCCCAGTCCATAGCTACCTTGTAGCGAAAAGTGAAGTTTTCCATGAAGCACTCATAATAAGTAGATAATTAATAATAATAAGCTAACTTCATTCAGGCTTTTGCATATCTCAAAAATTTAGTGTTCCGAGCTTAAATTTTAGTGCTCCTAATGCTTTTCAAATTCTATACTCTTTGTCATGGTAAATACTGAAATTGTTGACTTCGCTATCGTCACCCTTCGCCCCACCAGTATCTCTACCAGACCAGCCAACCCCGCTATCACTAAACAGAACCCGAACACGATTTGGAACGATAATAAATTTGTGAAACTTATGAAATCAGCTTTGACCTGATTCTTCCGCAAGTTCTTTTTCCGAACTTCTCTCGAGAACCAGATCTCTCCAGCGAGTTTGTTCCACTCTTCCCAGACTTGGTAAAATCCTGCTTGCTTAAATTTTTCCATAATCACCTTGCACTTTTCGCCAATAGCGGTTAAGAAAGTGTCGTAAATCGCCTTCTTATCCGCTACATTGCTCACGAGGAAGCAGTTGTAGCGTCCCTTTAACTCCAGCTCATGCACCATCCTCCACGTCAAAAAGCCATGAAAGGGTGAGCCTCTCTGAATAAGGGCAAATTTTGGCGCTGATTTCGTAAACATTCCCGCCAATTCTTGCCAACTTTTTGGAATCTCGAGCACCGAGTGGTTCAACTTGTAGGAAATATTCCAGCGGGAAAAATCAAATTCTAAAGTTTCTCGAATGGGGGTACTCCCTGGAGAAACTTTGGTGCTATGAAGTATGAATCCTTGCTTTATAATGTCTTCGAGATTTTCCAGTTTTTGGGGGATTTCAGGGACGACGAGTTCTGCCGTTACGAAAAATTCGTACTCGGATAGAAGAATTACGGCGGAAAAGGATAGGAGGATGGATATCGAAGGAAACAGGGACGTAATAGAGGTCGCTGAGGAGGACACTCCTTGTCGCACGAGGATGGAATATATATCGAAAATATCGTTGATCAGGGGTGAGATGGGGTAAGATGAGATTTTGTCGTTGGGGTGAGTACGGATCCTTCGATAGAGTTGGAGTACGAGACACGTGGTTGAAACAGTGATGAGGACAAATATCCAAACGGATAGTTGCACCGGGACTACCCAAATTGAGAAGGAGAAACGTTCTGGGCGAATGTTGTAGTCACAGTAGACCATATTGTACCTGTGAGAAGGATACCTATGTAGTAGATAATTTGAAATACAATCGCGAAATTATGACTTGGTATTTTGACATAATTCTGCATGCATAAGAATCACATATAAACAGAACATATGTAGGAACAGCTAGGAACTTTAGGATATCTAATTGAAAATTTAATGTGTGGTTACCCAGAAACAAAAAAGAAAGCAGTGCTCAAATCTGGCAGTAATTGAGTCCATAATTCGTTCATTCTCATTTACGGTTCATTACTGTTCTTTAAGCAGAATTAGTACTCAAGCTCTTAGACTACTTGTGTTTGTGCGCATGGCACAAAAAAATAAAATAGAGGAAGCGCTTAGTACTTTTGTCATTTTTAACAAACGGTAGTAGATAAATTCTAATACTAGATAATTAAAAACTTATGACCTAATTTACTACTTACCCTAGTTCGAACTGATAGCTCATCCTGTTCAGAGTATCTCCTAGGGGATCTACCAAATACTCCGTGAATCTCACGTCCCCCCAGTTTCTCCACCATACTTCCTCATTCAACGGGGCAACAGTAATATTTAGCAGAGTTGACAATACCGCGACTTTTCTAGAGTTGATGGGGCAACCGTAACTCTTCTTTAGTTTCATAGGCCCCGCGCAATACTTGACGACGCTACGATCCTGCAACCCTAAATCGGAGCTTAATTCTAGCTCTGCGATTGTGTGGAATTTAACCTCCACATAATTCCAGTGGCGTCGAAACACAAAAACATTTACTGGATGGGGAATCAATTTTCTTGTCGCAGGATTTAGAGCGGATAGAATAAGGAGGGATTCACGGATACGTAAAAAGTGCACGGGAGGGCAGAATTGACAGAAAAAGTAAAGCTTGTAGTGACCCGAGCCGCGAAACCGAGCAAAGTTGAACACTGTGTGAGTAATACGCTCGAAGTGAACTAATTTCTTAATTTCTTTGATATCCTGCAGCCTATCATACTTCTTTATATTGCTGAATTTCTGAGGATTCGTTAATTTGTCAGGTCCCCGAAATTTTTCAAATTCTACAACATTCTCATATTCCCTATTTTCTTTAAATTCCCCGATTTTTTTAAATTGTCCAAGTTTCTTAAATCCCCCGTCTGTTTTATATTCTTCATATCCAAGTCTGCTATGCTCAATCCTCGTTACGTTTCCAAAGCTAGAGGCGAGCTTATCAAAAGGGCGCTTCCTTGCCAGAACGTTTTTGAATTTCCCTCTCCCCTCGCTGGCATGTTTACCTTCCAAAATTTGGACACAGTGTAAAAAGAATACTCTTCCCCCACCCTTCACATCCTTGGGGATTCCATGCCCCCAAAAATACGGCGGTTCAAACGACACGATCAAAACCGTGGCCCAACTGATCGTGCCCTTCAGTACGAACGGATTCCTCTCCTCGGCAAATATCCGTTTCTGTCTGACCTTCTCGGAGGAGATGTAATTCAAAAAAACAGTAAGAGCACACCTGGAAAAGCCTCGACTTAACAGATTGAAATTCCGGGCATCATTTAGCACGGATATTTTTGGAGCGTTGATAAAATCCTGCGGGGATTTAGCAATGTCTGGAGAAAACACGGTTTTAAAATTCCCACTCTTTCCTCCATCCTCATTTTCTATGATCCATGCACTCTCGGCGTTAATTGAGATCAAGTGGGAGAGGAAGTCGCCCCAAAACGGGAGCTGGTCCTTTCCTTGGGGCACGTGTTGCGAATCGGTTTCACTGCTGCTCGTCGTATCCGAGAAGAGATTGGCGATAATGAGACAGTTTTCCAAGGTGGTAAATTTCTTGCCAATGTTAGCCAAAATATTGGCAGAAGCATTGCAATAGTTAAAATTCAGAAGGAAATTTAAAACAATTATCGATTTATTTTTGTTTGTTAACAACATTGAAAAAAGGTATTATGTAGTAGGGATGTATGTAAATATATTTTTGTCCGAATAGAGAAAATACATAAGGCAATAAATATTATCTTCGAAGATTCATAACTTTAAAGCCGAATAATTTACCTGACTTGTTGGCTGAAACTGCTATCATCCGAAATATCTAGATCGATTTTGTGGTTACCCTGCCTTTTTGTTAAATTCGGTTGGTTCGAAATTAATTAAGATAAAAGCTTTTGCATAACGTTATCTATTATTCAGCATGAGCTACCGTCGAATTTTTTACACCGATTGGATTGCTATTACATATATTAAAAAAACAAATCCTTTAAAATCCTTTAAAATTAAGTGTTTGGAGGTTTTGGTGCTGCTGTAGTAAATAACCGCACAGTTTAAAGGTAAAATTTTGCATTTGGTAACATACTAATAAAGAAACTGTAAGGGTTATAATTAAAATTAGCGGTTGAAGTAGGATTTATAATCTGTTTCATAAGAAGAATTATTGAGTCCTTTCATACATCTACTCTCGATTATTCTCTTCAACCTCGTCTGAACATACTGAAATGCGGTCTTGGATAAGTCAAGAATCGAGTTCGAAGTTGAGCTACGTCAATTGTGCAGTGCTTCACACGAATCCGAGACAGATTCGACTCTACTTAGCCTCCAAGCCCGAATCCCACTGTTGAAGATTTGTCCATATGAGCTCCAATCTTCTATCCGGAACTTTGGAATTCAACAATGGAATACAGCATTTCAGATGTTACAACAAATCAATAAGATTATTTGCAAACTATGCAATTGAAATGCAAAACTACAAATTGTTCAATGTTCATGGAAATTATGAGAGCAAATAGTTAATTATTTATTTTATGTATTACTAATTTCTAACAATTAATCATTGCGATAATTATTTGTGATGGATTACAACAAATTACACAGCAATTTATAGCTTGCTAAGTTCTAACCCGAAGGAACGGTTTGGATCGTCCTGTTTCTCCTCGCCATCCCGCAAAATTCGGACATACCCGCGATTACACTTGTACCGGATGCTCTCAATATACACGTTAAACTGACCATCGATCATGACCTCGATTATTTCCAGGAAACCAACAATGTTTTCGTCCTCGCCAAAAATGTCGAGCAAGGCTTGTTTCAAGTAAATCAGATCGTGCAACTCTTCCCCGATGAGGAAACACATGTCGTCCACGACGTCCTGGATGGCCTCACCTTTTTCCAGGACGCGGAACAGGAGCTCATTGTCCGGGTGGTTTGGTCCCGTGGAGGAAAAATCCTTCCCTGCGCCGAGGATGTCGTTAACCTTAAATTCACAAGAACTGCATCTTAACAGAATATTCAGTACGATTATTAAATGTTTCCAAGTACCCAGACGAGATTGGCCCTTAATATAGTCATGATACGTTTGAAGATGGGGTGTCGTCTTATATTTTGCGAAATGCGGATTCCCCGAACTAACAGCTGGCCTTCTAAACACACCTCGGCACCACAGTTCCATTGACGCCAAGCGTTGTACGTTCGAAGACTGAACCTACAATTATTTTGTAATGCTAGTTCAGAATTTTTCAAAGAGTTGTGATACATACATAGATACCAACCTTTTATCGAGTCGGCAACATGTAAACCAGTCGTCACTGAGGAAAGCAACTTGGAACGTGGAAACGAAAGGTTCAATATATTCGAGATAATCATCCCCCATAAAGTCAACCCCGGCCGAAACCATTCTCTCCAGCACCTAAAATTTTGATAAACATGTGTTATCGGGTCTAGCAAAAATACAAAAAAATGTTTTCGCAGAAACCTTGCAAATTCCATGGAAGTTAGGCAACCCCTCAATTTCCGGGAGTTGGTCCTCCATCTCCTGCCTCCGCATGATCTTGATATACGTTTCATGCACGCTCTGCGCATCTCTAAGGGTCAGTCTCCCCGAAAACCAGCCATCTTCCAAGGCGTTGTCAAAAAACCAGGCGAAAAGGAGTAACCAAGCGTAAAAAGTGAACCCTTTCGAGTCCAAGGGAAGAGTAGGATTCCAATAAAGCGTCAACTGTATGGCACACGTGACCGTCGAGGTGATATTACAGGCCCGCTCGAACGAGGCCGGCCTAAGTCCACACTCCGCGACTAATTCCGTGTACTTGTAGATAAGGCCGGAAGGAATGCTAGGATCCACTACAGGACGAGATAAGTGCGGCTGGATGTGCGGAAAGCGCCCGGAAATCGTCACCTGGCCGAAGGATGGGTGCGAAATGTGGGGAAGTTGAAATTCTACGTACCCATTTAACGAGGAGGCTTTATACTTGGACATCAGGGTGGGCATGGTAAATAAACTCTAAAATAATGAAGAAAACTTGAATTTTAGAAATCAACTTTAGAAATAAACTTATTTGTGTTCTGTTGCTACATACGCAATTCGATTGGAAATATGACGACTTATAAAATTGAGAATTGGATTGAGATGCACGGGAATCGTATTGAAATATTGTCAAGTTGTAAAAATATGTTGAGTTTGAAGCTGCTACTGAGCAAGTGACCAATAATCGTAATGCTCCAAGGATTAAATAGTAGATCAAACTACGACGTAAGACTTAAATTATGACGCAGTTTTAAGATTTAATTAACTCTTAGTATAAGGGTGTTCCTTGTGGAAAGTTAAAAACAATTTGGAACTAAATTGCCTAATTTATTAATATCCCAGCTCACAATTGGATCACCCTCGTCAGCAGCAATATTTATAAATAAGTATGTTAGCTTTAAGCAATTTAAATTCAACGTCAACGTGATTATCGTGAGGTAAATCATGAAAACGACTTTTAAACGGAGGAGAATTTTAGCACAGGATGGAATAACAGAGTGAAGAAATAATCAGAAATATTCAAAAGATAAAATTTTATAGTTAGAAGTTATTTATTTCACTTTTATCCTTGAAAAAGTCATCAGGAAAAGTAATACACCAGAATTTTAACTTAAATTATCCTCCCGGCAAGGATTTCAAAATTGTTTATTGTAGTATTCCATGTACTGGAATTGTCTAGATTGTCACGTTGTGATAACGGTGTAACTGGTTCGTTGGGTACGTCCTGTAGTGGTTTGGAGTTCCCTGTTGCAAGTGCGGGCTTAGCCAATGCAGCCTACTATTTTCAAGGAAGTCCCACCAATTTTTATATTTTCTTGACTCTATGTATCTGGTATCCAGACACTTTATTTAATCCCCTCACCAGGCTGTGGAAATATGGTGATATCCAAAGAGGAGGAAGAAGTTCATAGGTGTCGGACACCTATGTTTTTTTTACGATACGACCCTCCACATCATCACTCTCGTTACTAACAGCATTGCAGTGGTCACGTCGAGGATCGTATCGTAAATTTTTAAACGGACTGTAGATATATGTATGTGGACATTGTGTCCTAAGACAACACTCGGACACAATCAGTGGCACTGATACTTTGTCCACTGACGCCAACACTGTCTCCACAGATACTCTGCCACAACGAGTGACACTGACACTGTGGCCACTGATGCTCGAAAAAATCCTTGGCACCGTGGACGACCCCAAATGTCTGCGCATCTATGCCAAAATGCTTTACTTTTGAAGCTAAAAAAGTAATTTAAAATCACATTTCACATTTCGGCAAAAGTAATAGATGAATTAAAAAAATAAAACTAAGGCGAGAGGCGCTATTACAAACAGGAAACAAGCCCTCCCACCAACACCCCCGTCTCGCCGTGGCCCCGTGATATTTTTATATCTGGGGGGTGTAACCACAATTTTATTTTTTGAAATTATTTCCTGCGTTATACACAATTTAAAAAGCCAATAATGTGGTATACATGCCAACATGGGTGCATGTCATTTTCATGAAAGTGTCATAAAATTGTCACACCCATGTCGGAAATCAAAGTACGAAAGCTTATTTATTTAACTCGTTTACCAGAGCAGCTAGCTCAATTCTAAAATTTCTGAATGCAAATTTGGAACGTATTTAATCACATGATTGCTTACGTTAAAAGTTGGTTTTAAGAAGTAAATATTTCATTTTTTGTACGAAGGTTGATGAATAGAGTCCGGGTATGTATATGTTCCAAACTTTTTCAACAACAATACCGATTGACTTGAAACTTTAGGATCTTGGTTCTGGTATAGATTTTCCGTAATCAAAAATCTTTAATTAAAAAAATGTTTTATACATATTTGTCGATTTTATTAAACATTTTATATAAATGTTTCGGGGTTTTTAAGAATATATTTACCCGGACTCTGTTGATTAATGCTAGACTACATGTTTAAATTTAAATTAATGTAAGAACTGCAGGTACATAGTAGGTTTTAAAAGTGCAATGCAATATAAAACTGTAATATTTGTCAATTTAAATGCAGTTTACATAAGTAGACGTTTGAATCATAAATTGTGGTTACACCCCCCAGATATAAAAATATCATGGGGCCACGGCGAGACGGGGGTGTTGGTGGGAGGGCTTGTTTCCTGTCTGTAATAGCGCCTCTCGCCTTAGTTTTATTTTTTTAAATTCATTTATTTTGTCGTTTGTAAGTGAAAAATTTTTTAACTCCGCCATTAAAAACCCACAGTGCAGACTTGATATAGCCCGAGTCAAGAAAAGGTTGCAATGATCACCCAATCCGAAGTTTTGAACGAAATTTTTTCATAAATGCATATCAATATTTTTTAAATAAAAACTAATGGTTCTAATAGTTAAATTCACATTCTTACATTAGTAGCAATTGGCAGCATATGTAACAAATTGCGGTTCGATACGACGATTAAAATAAATCCTTTCGGGTCCCTCCAGATGAATATGTCTCCGATTTTACTTATTCATATTGTTCCATTACGAGCCATTACAAATTTACAGACAGACGGACGTGACGATTGTATTAGCCCGGTCTAGGGCCATCATTTACACATACACATATATATAAAGAATTTCTTTCCTAAAGTTGCTATGGATGTTAACTGAATTTTAAAATTTTAAAACCTCCATAACTTCGTCATTTTTGATCCGATCTGCATGAACCAAAAGAATGATCTTAATGTTTATTGAAGCTCTTTCGATTTCCCTGAGCCGATTTTTCACTTTCAGCGGAATATTTTGAGATACAGAAAAAAACGTCACTAAAACGAGAAATACACCATGAAGGTATGAACCGATTAAGCCCAGAGATAAATCCGCAATACTACACAGAATTTACTACCCATTGGTCGAAACCGCATGTCTCTGCGACTAGGGCATGTAATCTCGATATCGGTTTCGGTATTTCGGTATTTCGGTATTCAATATTCAAATACCGAAATATCGATATTTCGATATTACAATACCGAAATTGGCATTTTGCAATTTATGAATTTATTTAATTATTATAACACTTTCGAATCAACCCCTTGGAATTCAAACTTTGGGGTGTAACCAGGTCAAAAATCGATTTGGGGAACTTTGGGGGTGTAACCAAGTCAAAATTCGATTTGGGGAACTTTGGGGGTGTAACCAAGTCAAAATTCGATTTTGGGAACTTTGGGGGTGTAACCAAGTCAAAATTCGATTTGGGGAACTTTGGGGGTGTAACCAAGTCAAAATTCGATTTGGGGAACTTTGGGGGTGTAACCAAGTCAAAATTCGATTTGGGGAACTTTGGGGGTGTAACCAAGTCAAAATTCGATTTGGGGAACTTTGGGGGTGTAACCAAGTCAAAATTCGATTTGGGGAACTTTGGGGGTGTAACCAAGTCAAAATTCGATTTGGGGAACTTTGGGGGTGTAACCAAGTCAAAATTCGATTTGGGGAACTTTGGGGGTGTAACCAAACGTCGCAGACTGCGACGTTTGGTTCTCTCACAATCTTGTCTGACTGTTTTGAGGTGTCCACTTAACTGCATACTATGGCTTCGCCGTAACCATGCACGTATTTTTTTGGGGGTGCATGGTTACGTTTGGGTCTCGCCTTAGAAAAACATGAAATTTGCCAATTTTATGAAGATACAGCAAAATGCATTTAAGACATGGCCAGTGTCAGGGTTGCAGAAACCTCACTTGTAGCTCACAAATCTCATCTCAGGGAGTAATCTAACGTTAAAATTACATACCAACGTAAGCGTTACGAGAGGCCATAATTTGGGAATGTACATCAATTCATTTTTTAAATTTATTCTTTTTGATAATTTTCGAAAGCCTTCGGTGAGATACATAAATATATTTATAGGTGCATGACAAGAATAAATATGTGCTAAAGAGCGGTCACAGTTCACGGTGAATTACAGTATGCGAATAAATTTGTTAAAGTGCACATTTTGCGTAATTTTACACGATCGGAGTTAAAACGAAGGGTTGCTTTTTCCACCCAAGGTTGACGACTTTGACGGTTAGTCCGCCGTAGAAGGCGATGAAGGCTGCGCCGCCGTGCAAACTGGTGCGGATCGACCAGTGCGTGGAATTCATCACTGAGGAAACTCCGCGAACGAAAGTGGATTGCAAAACCAGGAAGAGGAAGACACACTGGACACCTCCAAACAGAAGGCGGACGCCTCTCATCTAATGGAAAAGGGTAAAATTTGATTAAATTCCCATTGAAGGTCTTTCAACTTATGCCCACAGATTTTGAGCAAGTTATGGTTTGGTTATTTGAATTAAAGACTGTTATAGTAAATTTGCAACTTTTCTGGTAACTAAGAAAAATAATTTTACAAAAGAGTGACAATAATGAAAACCGGAATCACTTCACACCTTTACAATTTTGATTTGGATAAGATTCTCAGCGTTTGTAGAGCTGATTTGTATGAGTCCAACGGTCCAAGTCCGGTGTTTCTACTCCACCCCCTCGCCGAGTGGGAGGAGGTCAAAGTTGGAAAAACAGGGGTTTTCTGCAATTTTTAGCTTAAAGGTGGGTCAATATTTTTAAAAACGGTTTTCACCAAAAGTTTCCTAATTTTTACACCTACAACCCTTTTCGAGCGTTTTTTGAAATTCTCAAAACGGATGTCACGATTTCGGATTTTCTGGATTCAAGTTTTTTCTCCAGATTTTCGACTTTTTTTAAATGACGCGAATTTGTGCAGAAACCATCATAATTTATGTTCAACATCATAAAATGACGAAATGTCATGGTTCGGGGTCTAACAGATCTGAGATGTGCGTGAGAACGAAAATTAGAAATGTTCCAGAATTTAACACAGCGTAAGATTGGGAGCTAACATGGCAATGGTATAGGGACAAACTCAGAATATTTTTGTCTCTTGAACAACAGGGATTAGTCATACACCAGACAAAGTATATATATTCTTAATCCTCGCGTGGAGAGCTTTCCAATGGCAACTCATATGACCCCAATTGTGGGATTATGTGAGATTTGACCTTTCCCTACTTTTAATCCAAAATTGTGACACCCGTTTTGAGAATTTCAAAAAACGCTTGAAAAGGGTTGTACTGAGGGTAGTCCACATCCTTGAAAACGTTTTTGACCTTTAATATCTTTGGCGCTAGTAGAAATTTTGAATTGAAATATTTACAATTTGTTCACCATATAGTCAGCATTATGGGTGCAAAATTTCAATTCGCTAATCTAAATGGCGCCCGAGATATATGCATACGAAAAAATAGTGCTGTTCTAAAACTGTCCAAAACTGGATAAATTTTAAGTTTCAGAATATTTTTAGAACCTTCTAGAATTGTGAATTGTATATGGAATTTTATGTGGGTGGTATGAAAATTTTTGGCATCTATGTGGCTTTCATAAATAACTCAAAATTTCCCAATTTTTTTTTAAATTCATTCCATTCCAGGTGGATTTGTACAAAAAAAGCGGGAATAAAGTTTTTTTTTTAGTGAAATTGAATTTTATAAATCACAATAGTTGAAATGTTTTCATGTTTATTATTTTGGCAGTTAGAGGAGACATTACTGATGATAATGCAAACAGATTTTGGACTACAAATGTTTAATTTCGTGTAATGGAGGTACTTTGGAAAAATTAGCGAAATTTTGACAAATGTTATAACTTTTACTCTGAAACTCTACCCAGCTATTTTTTTATCAAAATTTAAACTGCATTGTGTACTACAGACATGGGCTCACACAATTTGCTATTTCCTGGCATTTCTAGCCTATCAGCAACTGCTCCATGTCTTTCAACCGGGTAATTTATGTCTGAAACAAAAAAAAACATCATTGTTTTACTGTTGGGTTAGTTGAAGGTCTGCTTTTTACACTAGAGAATTGAAATTTTACACCAATAATGCTGACTATAAGTTGAACAAATTGTAAAAATTTCAATTCAAAATTTCTACTAGAGCCAAAGATATTAAAGGTCAAAAACGTTTTCACGGATGTGGACTACCCTCAGTATAGAAAAAAATTAGGAAACTTTTGGTGAAAACCGTTTTCAAAAATATTGACCCACCTTTAAGCTAAAAATCGCAGAAAACCCCTGTTTTTCCAACTTTGAGCTCCTCCCACTCGGCGAGGGGGTGGAGTAGAAACACCGGACTTGGACCGTTGGACTCATACAAATCAGCTCTACAAACGCTGAGAATCTTATCCAAATCAAAATTGTAAAGGTGTGAAGTGATTCCGGTTTTCATTATTGTCACTCAAAACTAAAAAGAGCTGTGCACAAATTGTATGCCAATTAAAAAATACATTTGTTATCAAATAATTCATTTCCTACAATTTGCAATTTTTGGAACCAATTATTTCACAAATTTAAGAAAGGGTCCAAAAGGTATGTTCCGCACTGTTTCTGACCAAAATTTTGATGAAATAACAAACTTGAAATACATTTAGGAAGTCGTGATTTTTTTCAGCTCAATCGGTTAAAAGGAACACCCGCAATAAATCATCCAAATTTACCTCGAAAATATGCAAAAATTTACGACTTGATTCCATTATCATCCCAAAATCGTTTCCCCTTCATGCTTTTATTCAACGTTTGAAACGGATAATAATCAATAAGGGTCAGGGCTGGACTGTACGGGGGGTGGTTTATGACGGTGAAGCGTTTTTCGTCTGCAGCAGCCCTCGAAACCAGCGAGGTATTTGTTGGCGCGTTGTCGTCTAAAAAAAGGCCAACTCTTTATTTTGACCTCACGTTTCTCTTCAACCGCAGCACGCAGCTCCGTCGGGGTTCCTGCATAGGCTGCCCCATTTATCGTAGTATTTCCAGCAAGAAATTATGTAAGAAGGAGACCTTTTGTATCATTGTAAATAGTCATAATCAATTTTTTGGCAGATTTTTACGCTTTTGCTTTCATGGGCGGTGGCAACCCCCCGTGCTCCCATTGCATGAAGTATTGTTTAGTCTGCAGGTCATAATAGTAAACCCAAGTATCATATGCAACTACTAAAATATGAAGCAGGTTCCAGTTTTCATTTAATAGGTTAAAATTGGCATTGCAAAGGTCAACTCGATCTTGTTGTTGAGATGCCGAAAGCAATTTTGGTACCCAACGGGCGGAAGCCATTTTCATACCTAAGTCTTCAGTTAACGTGGAACAAATTGCTGGTTTTAGAACACCCATCTTATCTGCTAAATAGGACAGTTTCAATCGTGGATCTCTAATTATTGGTTCCTGTAGTTTCTGGAGCCTTTCTGTGGAAGAAACTGATTTTGGGCGTCCTGGCGACTTTTTGTCCGAGACCACTTTTCGCCATCATTTGAAGTTACTGACCCAATTTATATTGTGCTTTGTGTTGGGCAGTTTTCATCGTAAACTTTAAGCATGCGATCATAAATCTGCGACACCGATTGCCCTTCCAGCGTTAAAAGTTAAATCACACTACGATATTTAATTTGCAAATCTGACATTTTTTCCGTCGAGGTAAAGTTTGCTGATTTATTGCTAGTGGTGATGTTAACCTAAAGAGCTGAAAAAAATCACAGCATCCTAAATGTATCTGAAGTTTGTTATTTCATCAAAATTTTGGTCAGAAACAATGCGGAACATACGTTTTGAAAATCAATAATAAAACACCTACGTATAATCGGAAAAATTGCAAAAAAACAGAAAAAGGCAAATTACCAAAATGTAGTGTCAATCACAAATTTAATAAATTTGACATTTTTAACTGACACTATCTGCCAATGCGCAGGTTTAGCCGAGATACAGCTTAGCGTATCCGGAGAGGAGAAAATGTGCATTAAAGCTGGAAATGGCAAAATTTCCCATTTTAAGATGCACGTTTTCTCCTGTTTGTATGTTCATGAATATCTCTGCCAAACTTAAGAATTACCAGAGCGGAAATGAGAATTATAATTTCTTCGCAATCATAAAAACGACTCTGCCAATTTCCAATAGTTGATGTACGACTTACGGGAACATCTCGTTTTGACATGAGGAGTGGATACCAGGCCGCAATCGACAACAATTGCAAACCCCCCACCGCCATGCCGACAATGCAATGTTCCAGTTTCTCCACTCTCTCCACAAGCCACCGAAGGGATTATAGTAGTCGTCGAAAGCCTCGCGGGGAAGTTTCTTGTATTCCGAGTAGTAGTACGCGTTCGCTCCGAGCACAGCGCAGCAAACAATCTACATACATATGTATCGGTAAAATGGTTGCGATTAGTGAACCAATTATGCAAAGTTTGGGTGTGCAGATTTGTAATAACTGGACATATATAGAGACCAATTGAACAGCTGAATTGAAGCAAATTGACCGAAGGTCATACACATATACAGGGTGGTTTAAATGTCAGGCTACAATGGGGAAAGTCCCTAAATCTCCATTAATTTGGGATTTCAATTTTTATAATTACCATCAAAACTGATGACAAGACAAAATTCTTAAAAGGTAGAATTTTATAAGAGACAAAATTTCGGTAACTAATGGAAATTTAAGAATTTTTTCCGTCGAAAAATTTTCCATTGAAGCGTAACATTGTAACCAGCCTGTACTTAACTGACATTTCCAAAACCCACCAAATCCAAGTGGATTGACTGCTATCAAATGTAATTAGCAAACCAACTTGAATTTAAAATAGTAAATAAGTGAAATCAGAGGTGCGGAAAAGGTTAAGAGATTATACATAGCCAGTTAGGTTATTACACAATTACAATGGAACCTTTTTTCAAGCTACACCAGGATTGTGTAACGAGTTATATCAAATAATCAAGGAAAAAGTTAGGAATCACGTGGCGCTTATCATTCCGCTGAGTGGCCCCTTTGAAGAAAAATATGAGGGGTTATAGTCCCCACGAGCGCCTTGGTTTTCGCCTCGTGGACGGAAAGGGAGAGAAAATTTACTAAAAAATTGAACTTTGCTGCCAATATTTTTGTTCTGAGGGATACTTCAATGGAATGATAAGCGCCACGTGATTCCTAGTTTTTGACTTGATTTTTTTATATAACTTGTTACACAATCCAGGCGTGGCATGAAGAGGTTCCATTGTTAGCACAGGGCAGAAATAATGTTAGTAACTTACCACATGAAATACAGCGACACCATAGATAATTGCCATTTTTGGGAGTATAAGGTCAACTATTTTTTGTAAGAAATTTCAGTATTTTTTTGGCACTGGAGGATCAATCTATTTATAATTTGTTGAGGTAGTCAATCAGCGCGTGAGGTGACTGACAAGTATTTGCCTTTGCGAATTAATTTATTGGAAAAGTTTGCATGGTTAGGCAAACCGTAGTGCGTAAATTAATATGTAGATCGTCAAATCATTCTTATCGTCAATAAATATGCACGAGTTTGTTTGGATTCATCCTCGTTCTTATCTTGCCAACCAGACTGAAGCATGGACAATTAATTGGGGTTTGATTGTGGCATCGGGAATATATACATCATGAGTAATCGAGTCTTATATTGAGGGGTTTGGTGGGGGGACAAGTTTATCCACACATTATGTCATAAAAAAGACAATGTCTATGTAAAACATATTTACATCCACCTAATTGTCTTCAGCTTAGTTTTTTTCGATTATGCTCAACTTCAAGAAAATGCATTAATTTGGGGTCGTTATGAATGTGTTGTGGTCGTCGTGTGGGAGGAATAATTAAGGAGCTTTAACAAGGTCTTAAGAACTGAAAAAATCGAAAATTTAACATTGCCTTATATTGGGGAAGATTCAAATTTTTGTAAAGAAAATGTTTAAATTTGACATTTATTTGGTATTGGAGAAACCCCTCAAAATTTCGACAGGTTTTAGGCCGCGGGGAAAAAATGGGGAAAATCAATGACCTTCAAGAAACGACAATTGTCCTCCATGACCACGATTTTTCAAGGAGACATTTGTTTTCCTCCCGGAGTTAAACAATTACTTATAAAACGGCAATTGCCTGCGGTACGAATTAAAGGTTAATACGAGCAAGATTGGCGATCCCAAACCATGAAGACAGCCACCTGTTTGATGACGTAACAAATGGACGTTCCCTTAGGTTAGGGAAGGTTATTTATATCAGGGATGTGAGTCATTAACAAGTTATTACTAATGCACAATTGGAATGTTGGGCCATCATAAATCGGCAGACGAAACCGTGTTCGTTCGTCATCTCCATGTCAGCCTGGTTTGCATATATATGTAAATATCGTCCACTCTATCCTTATCGCGAAGTCGTCAACAACCGGCACCGTCATAATGATTGTTTCACGTAATAGATTAACTTAAAAATAGATTGAAATAAATAATTGACAAATTGAGCAGCAGTATGACGAAAGAGGTGACGACACGAATGTTGTGACGATCATTGAAAAAGGGAAGACGGATTCAGGAGGGTTTTTCTGGAAAAATTCATACCCGTGGATTTTTGAGGGGCTTGCAGATCTTGGGGCGGGTGGAAGTATGTAAATGTCCTAAAATTACATACAGATTGCAGTAAAACTAATTCAATATTCCAGTTGAGCATGAAAGGTTTAGTGTTGTAATTAACTTTTAATTGGAAAAATATAATTGAAAAAAACAAGTAGGAAACCAGGAAATATGAAGTAGAAATACTTGACAGTTCAAGTCGCACATGACAATGCCGAAGATAAGATACGTAAACAAATCGTATGTCCATACATAAATGATGAGATATATTTATTAAATGTATGCACGTATTTTGAGACATTTAAGTAAATGAATGGCCTCCTTGTGATCCACTATCTACATGTGTATGTACGCAGTCATTTGAAAAATTATCTATATTAAAAGCTGAAAATGTTTGTCGGTAACGGAAGTGAAAACAAACTTTCCGCAACGGAAGTGAAAGTAAATAAAGTCACGTTTCGAATTCCGAGAACATTCAAAATAAATTAGATTAAAATATTAAATACCTGATGGTAGTTATCATCAGGCTTGGGCAAGATACTTTGTTTTCAGATACAAGATAAAGATACTGTTGCAAAAAAATCCAAAATACTAGATAAAGATACTTTATTCTCTGTTTTTTCGAAGATACTTAGATACTAAGTAAAAGATACTTTTAAGTATTTTTAAAGATACAAGATACAAGATCAGATAAAGTATCTTAAATATTCCACAAGATACAAGATACTTTTAATTTTTTTAAGATTTAAAAAAGATAAAATTTCATATTTATTGCCATTTAGGCTTCGTCAGTAAAATGAAAGTCTTACTATTGAGTAGTTAGGCATTGAAAAACACCTTCCACTAGCAAAAATACCACGCATATTTTCTTACAAATTACAATTATTACCTCATAAATCATAAGAAAATCGAACTTTAGATGTCGCGGGTAGCATATTTTGCAAAAAGTATATTGTATTTTAAAAAGTATCTTAGATACTTTCCTCTTGATGCAAAATATCAGATACAAGGTACAAATACAAGATACTCATTGAGGATTTTCCAGATACAAGATACAAGATACTTTGAGCTGAGGCGGATGGAAGATACAAGATACGAGTAGTATCTTGTATCTAGTATCTTGTATCTTAAAGTATCTATTTTGCCCAAGCCTGGTTATCATACGAGTGGTAGTCTAGGAGTGAGAGTATCACACCTGATATTTAAGCTTTTGAATTTAATTTATCTTGAAATTTGGCACTTGACTTTCTTTACTTTCACATGTGTTTCGGAAAAGTGCTTTCACTTTATATGCTAGTTGTTACATAAGTCAGTTAATTAATGATATCAGACATTATTGTGTTATGAGGTCCTCAAATCACCCTAAGAATGAGGGTGTGTAAATCAAGTAGATAATTTTGTAGTAAATAAGTGTAATAAATGCAGTGAATAGTGTGAGGGTAAGGTTAACTTTTATCTGCATGGTCGTGAAACACGAGGATAAAAAACCCCAATATTTTTAGCAATCTATTTATCCAGCATCTGCTGGTGTATTAATAATCGACATGAATATTTATGTAACTCACATCCGGCCATGCTCACCTTGGATTTATTCCGACACGCGTACCCATATTATTTACACCAGACCAGACCAGCAGCTGATTAACAACTAGTCAAGCTCTGATAATTAATGTGATACTTATTTATGTATGTAATTCCTCACAGGAACTGAGAACTAACTGGAATTATTTTTTCCCACACGTGAGAAGGAAGAAATTCTTGGAAACATAAGTTTTCTTTTACGTAAATGCATCGCGAGTTTAGTTTTTGAGTGAGAGTGACTTGGTTGTTTTGTTATTGGCAAGTTAAATATTACACAATCAATTCTTCTATGATAAGATTATCACCGGCAGAGGTACATATTTTACTATCTAATTTAACCAACGTGGTAGTGACGGATAACCATCCTGTAAAAAATTGTGGTAGAGTGACATACATATAAATACTTTATTGATTTTGTAATACATAATTTCCCACTGGATTGAGTGGTCAATTTTTAATTACCATAACTTTACCAAAAGTATCGTTATCACGGTTCCGGTAGCCATTAATATAAATACATAACTTTGTGCACGTGTATTGTGGCCAGGAACGATTTTATACCAATTGCTTAACAGTGTAACATTCATACCGTACAGCGCACTAAAATCTAAACTAGACTAAAATCTGCTCACTTCCCAGTATCAATTCTTAGGCAATCAAGTATAACCGACAATTTGTTAGCCGTGCAACCATTGATAAATTGGTGTTGTAAATTGCATAGTACCTCTACCTCTGCCGGTAATAATGCATTTTTACAGTTACCGAGTTGGTGTAAGTGTGGTTTACATAAGTTAACGATGTTGGTAAGCGATTCGACGTGGACGCATTTGCGAATCCCGTTTTTCTTCCTGCTTTCTCCCGTCTACTTCTTTTCCTGGAGTCAAGTCGTCACCGGTGAGTGGAGCTGGTTTGAGGCGGCCTTAATTTTTGTCTTGCCGCACTTCCTCCTTTATCCGGCTGCCAATGGGTACAACTCCTATTTTGATAAGGTATACAGAGATTTGCCTTATCTAAGGGTTGCTACATACACTCTAAGAAATGGGGTTACGATTATAACCAAAAAGTATACGTTTGTGACTCTACCCTTGTGGTGATGAATTTGTCGCCAACTGGTTATAAATTTATTAGCTCTGGTGACAATTTAATATCAAGTCGGTGAAACTTCATAATAAGTCGGTGCCAATTGTAACCACTCGATTACAAATTTATAACTACGGCGGTAGAGTCACATACGTTTACTTTTTGGTTGTAATCGTAACCCCATTTCTTAGAGTGTATGTAAAAACTTGTGTTCAATATTTTACGGACATGGTGATTCACGTAATTTATGTATGCACGAGCTTGAAATTTCCTAAAAATTATAAAGAGAGAAATGAGAAGACAAAAATCTGAGAAAAAACTGACAATGGAGGCTTCCCATCGCGTGCGGTCCGATTCTGGCCAAATTTGTGGCAAACGATCATACATTTAATTGTTATGAAGTTTAAAAAAGACGCGATTTCTTAATGGATGTTTGCATCAGAAGAGGAGAAAACGCGGAGTAAATTAAGAAAGTGTAAAATTTGTCAATCTTAAGAAACGTTTTGTCCCTGTTGGTTGAAAATATCTCCGCCAAACCTGACCATTTGCGGATAGTGGATCGATTGACGTTACATGACTTGGTCAAAATCGGGAAGCATACGATGGGGGCCTCCGTTGTCAGGGAAATTTATAACCACATATTTCAGGATGAGGGGTCCATCGGGATTTTGGAAAAGCCGCCAACAGTAACGGATGAATTATACTGGACGACGTGGGCCTTAGAAGGGATCGCTGTCTTGGTCGGGGCGGTACTTTTAAATAGCTCATTTTTGGCTACTGCTCTACTGGGGGTGGTGTTTTCCAAAGCGTATAGCCACCCAGCGGTCAGGATTAAGGCGTACCCCATCCTTTCGTGGATTCTTGTACCGGTGGTTCAGGTATTTGATATATTTTTTTTTAATTTAAATTTTCCGGACCTAAAATAAAGATGGGATGGATTTTACTGTGGGGTCAATTTTGAACAGAATTTGATGCGTAAGGATTAATTGGAATGTGGATTTGGTTTGGCGCAGCATTAATTTTTATTCTCACTCTACAACTACTCGAAAATTTTTGAAATTCAGATTTGCAAAGTCACATGAATTTCATAAGTTTAGAGACAAATGCAAATTAGGTTATTTTTTGGTAGTATTTATTTACAAAATTATCAATTTAAAAGAAAAGTTTGCTAATTGATTTCCTGCTTTTTGCAAATATTTGTTTGCTCCAAAATGAATTTTATGTTTTCTTTAATTAGAAAAAAGTCCAATTCGTAGAAAAACTTGAGGAGTTGATGTCATTGGAAAAACTTGCTTCGAACGACATTGAGTTGTAGTGTAGAATGCATAGGTGCTCCGTGTCTTGGGCGATACAGGAAAGTCGTATAAGGCGATTTTGGTGCTTTCTAAAGAAAATATGAGATTTGGTGCCTCGTATCTCATATTAATGCTGATTTGTTAGAAATTTGCAGTCGAAAAAAATGAAATTTGGCATGCACATTCATGAATATATTCTTAATCATAATATATCATCAATTCCCGTTTGGATCGCTATTAATTTTTCAGGAAAACTCAAAAACCGTAAAAAAATTGGTTTTATATTTTTCCTGAAAAATTAATAGCGATCCAAACGGGAATTAATGATATATTATGATTAAGAATATATTCATGAATGTGCATGCCAAATTTCATTTTTTTTCGACTGCAAATTTCTAACAAATCAGCATTAATATGAGATACGAGGCACCAAATCTCATATTTTCTTTAGAAAGCACCAAAATCGCCGTATACGACTTTCCTGTATCGCCCAAGACACGGAGAACGGCTGGTAGAATGAGCTTGAAAATTTACATATGCATGGTGACTTTATTCCACTTTAATATTTCGGAATGTTAGATTTAAATTAGAGCATATTTCCATGCCGCATGTGACCCCCGAATAATAAGTTTTGGTTACAGGGTTACTGTTCCATCTTGGGGATTACTGGAGCTTTATTATCTTCCTCAACGGGTTACCAAGATATGAGGATTCATCTGGCCGGAATTCTGACTACGCTTCAACTCCTCGCGTTCTACCCGATGGGCCAAGTCTATCAACATGACGAAGATAGGAAACGGGGCGATATGACGATTAGTTTGGTGTTGGGGGTGAGGGGGACGTTCAAACTGGCCTGGTGTTGTGCTGCTGTGGCCAATGCGGGATTTCTTCTGTATTTTGTGACATACTATAAAAACTATGGAACGGTGTGTTTAGCTCTGTTGGGGTCCCTGGTGCCACCCACGGTGTACGCGTGGGGCTGGTCGAGACGGGTGTGGGCGGACGAGAAAGCGGCGGATTTTAAAGGGACGATGAAACTATTTTGGTTGGGGGCGATGTGCAATAATTTGTTCTACATGTGGCTAACGTACTTTACGTACATGTATGAATAAATAGAGTAACTGCAGTAAAGATTAAGCAAGTATTTAATTGAGATGAATTCGTGGCAGTTGTATTGAAAGATTTCATGTTCAAAATAAGTATGTAAATAAATTATTAAATTTAAAAATATTTAAGTTCTCCGCTATGTATGTATAACTCGTTATTTGAAATGATGGATATTGAAGTGTTTGTAAAACCAGAGTGGTTGCACATGCATGTAATTACGGGGTAGGCATTTTTGATAATAGGATTTTCATTCGTTTGCATATGTATGCAGAATCAGCAAACAAGTGTCATGGCTAGGTTAAGATTGTATTTATTATGTTCTTACATAATTCCCCTTGTTTCTGTGCACTCACAAGATTTGTATGCATCGTGTCCGTTTGCTCACTAAAGCGTGCAGCCCTTCCCGGAAGCGAGAGGTGTTATTGTTTGTGTCATGGCTAAAACTGACAGTGCATAATTACGCAACTCTTTGTCCACCTATTTGCATATCCTTCCCCTTCCTTTTCATATTGTTCATCCGACTTGCACATTTAAGAACTACATAAACGATGTGCAAAAACACAGAATATGAACATGTAATGAGTCACTTATTACGCGTGGCATGATTTGTCCCTCACTATAGAAACGAGACAACAAACCCAAGCGGAAATGCAGTTCTCGGTCATTCTTTGATTAGTGAATCATTCCAATTTCCGTCATCCTTCGAATTGCATTTGTACGTGGGCGTGAATAGGGCTTAACTTTTTCGGAAGAAATATTTACGAAGTAATTTACATATTTGCCAAATGGCGGGACAAGTTGAAAACGGTGAAATTATCTCTCTAGAAGAGCAGAATCTCCTGTACCAGGAAGCTGTAGAAACAATAGCTCAAGTCGAAGAGACGCTGACAACTTGGCGACGTTATCTCATCTGTCCGTTCGAGATTAGGAAGCGGAACGAGGATTCAAAATATGAAATGGTTTCCTGGTCGGGAAGGGCGGTAAGGGATTAATTTTTTATTAAGCAGGGCAAAAGTGATGAGGGGCATGTGAATAACAAGTTTAGAAGCCTCTTTAGTCTTAACTTTCCCCAGGATAATGGTAGGGGTATTCAAGTCAATTTTGTAATAACCGTAAGCGTCGCATATTTTCGCAACTCATAATCAGTTTGCGAACAGTTGGTGTGCTTTGTCCTGAAATCAAAGTAATTCCAAGGAACGAGTAATTTAATACGTAGCAAAAAAAGCGCGTTTTCGCATAAAAAATCCGTCCTGCGTCTTAAGCACAGGGTGATTAGAAGGTCACGCTACAATGGACAATATTTCTATGGGAAAAATTCGTAAATTTCCATTAATTTTCTCTGAAATTCAATATTTTAAGAATTTCATCATCAGTTTTGATAATAATTATGAAAATCTCAATCCCAAATCTTGTAATTAATGGGGATTTACAGACTTTTCCTTTTGAAAAATTTTCCACATAGAATAGCAGATATCATTCGAAATATTGACAAAATAAAGCAAATTCTTCTTTTTCTTCGAATTTTGCACTAAACACTCCGTGTAATCTAATTATTGAAAAATTTTCCATTGTAGCGTGACATTTTAATCACCCTGTACATGCCCTTAATTTTGTAGGTGATATCCACCCTAATTCTGTTGATTGGGACGGTGAGCCACGTGGGGAGCGCATTGGGCAGGATTTATTTGGCCATGGTGGAAGGGGTTGACTTGGACGATCTCTTATGGTTGGCCTTTTCCGTGGGGTCGGCCGTGGTGGTGGTCAAGTTCGTGTACAGCGTCACCATCGGGAGGGCGTACTGGTTGGAAGTGATGACTTATTTGGACGAGTTGGCCGAATCTATGAAACCCAAGGAGGACTGAGAAACAAATTTGGAGTGATTGCCAAAAACTAATTTTTGAGATTTGATTTTAGAAATACAAATGGAAATAAAATAAATTTATTATTTTGGAAATTTGTTGGTTTTTGGGTAGAATTATTTTTGTAATATAAATATCTTTGTCCATATTGCGGTCAGAACATCTCTATGGTTTTCAAGAGATATGTATGTGGGAAAAAATTGGAGAAAGTCAAACATTACGAAATAAATAGTTTTTGCGCTTTTGGGTAAAAACCACTTTTTTAAGAAGACAGTAATATGTACATGATTTCTATAAGTCAAGGATTAATTGGAGAAATACAACTGAAGATGGAAGGAATGCACACACAAAAATAATTTTGTAATTTCATAAACCCCTTCCTGAGATGAGAAAAAGGTGTTCATGTGAGTCGTAAAATGGAGTTTTTAAGCATTTCTGGGCTTCGAGATAAATTGGGTTGCAATGGCATAAAATATGCGACGTGTTTCATTCAAATGCTTGTTGATTTGAAAAAAACGACTTTTTTGTCAGAATTTGGCTGTGTATTTGTATATGGTGGAACCGTGCTGACCGTGCAGAAAGGATGTGATCTATTTGAGGGGGAGCAGGGGTGCAGGCATCTTTGATCTTATCCTTGTCATGTTAATAATTAACAGTTAATTATAACATCGGCAGATAGGGCACAAATGCAGGGGGATAGGGGTCAAAATTCCCCTCAAATCGATCACATTCTTTATGTACGACCCCTATGTAAATACATAAATAATTTAAGGATGCATTAATTCCGTGTAACATAAATATTGTCATATTTATACTTATGTACCACTTGATTTACATACAAACAACGCATTAATTTAAATTTGCACAATAGTTATATCTGTACGAATATTTATTCATTGACTGTATTCGCAGAGATGTATGTATGTGTACAATTATTACTTTTTGAGAATAGTAAATTTACAATTTTTTTTTATTTTACATGTTTCTACATATGTACGCAAAAAAGGCCACTGATATTTATTAGCACTCGTAAAAAATAAAATTCTAACTTGATTATATAAATAATTCCCCAAAATTTAATCAAGTTTTCCCAAATTTTGATCCCCTGTCGTCGTTCCCACTTTTTTGACTACGACGGGTCTGCCGATCTTGGCCCCGGCCACGCCCATCCTCACGCCGGCGTCTTTGCTCTTCTTTTTGCGCATGTACTGCGGGTATTTTTCTTGCCGGTCGGGGTCATGGGAGCGCATGTGGATGTTCAAATACTCGTTGAGGCGGAACCTTTTCCCGCAAAGGGTGCAGAGATGCGGGGCGTCGGCGGGGTCGATGTGGATCTTCCGGTGGCGCGCCAACTTGCTCTTGTCGATCAACCCTTTGCCGCAAATGTCGCAGGTGAATCGCGCCGCGCCCTCTTCGCGGGACAAGTGCACGCTCTTGATGTGATCTCGGAGACCGGATTGGAGTTTGAACGTTTTTCCGCAACGCTCGCAGACAAGACTGAAAAAGGGAAAATAATTAGAAACTTGTGAGTAAAATGGTGAAAGTTTCCGTGCAGAAATTTTTTTGCATAAATAGTTTCTGCAGAGCGATTTCTGCAAAAACTGTGCAGAATAAATTAAAAACGCATAAAAAATGTATGAAATCTTGAAGTTTTTGCCAAAGTCGGTCAGTTTGGCGAAAACCTTTTAGGTAAAAAAAACAATCGACAAACTAGTCCCATTTTTGGCGAAAATATGTAAGCGTTCTAAAATGTGTTTTTTAAGAGTTTGTTATTTTCGCGAAATGTATGTGACATAATTTTGCGGGTATACTTTCAAAATAATTTTCTCCTCATTTTTTTGGCGAGGTTTTAAACATTTTCGCTAATTCGACACCGTGATTTCCAAAACTTGAAAAACTTACTCATCTTGTGGCGCAGAATGTGTCCATTTATGCGAATTGAGCGCGGACCGGTGTCCGAACGATTTCCCGCAGCCGGGCACCGCGCAGGCGAACGGGTTCGTCTCGCTGTGACAGCACGTGACATGGATGCGGTACGCGTGCTCCGAAGAAAACGCGAGTTTACACTGTTTGACGCCTTTCGCGCAGAAAATTGCGCGCTCGCGACACTCCTCGCGGACGGAGGCTTCATTGACGTGGTCGTGGAACTGTTCGCGGTACGGGAAGAAGTTGTCGCACCCGGCGCAGGTGAGGCTCTCGCGCGGCGCGTGGTTGGAGCGCGTGTGCTTTTCCAGACTGCGCATGTCGAGGAGCACGATTTCGCAGGTGTCGCACTTGTAGCCCGCCTTCTCGCCGGAACACCAGTCCGAGTGGGTGGACCACTGGAGGACGGTGGGGAGCGGTTTGGCGCAGTGGGCGCAGGGGAAGGAGGAAAGCGCGTGGGCGCGCGCGAGCCGGGTGAGGTGGATGATGCGGAGCTGTTTTTGACGGTAGGGGGTATTGTTGAAAGGGGACGGGGAGAAGGGAGGGAGGGGAGGAGAAGGAGTTCAGGCCAGGATTTGGGGGAGGAGGGGGTCGAGTAATCGTAATCCTGGGGGGAGGGGAATTAAAAAATAATTTTAGAAATTTTGAAAAAAAAACATTCTAAATAAAAGTTTTGCAAAATTTTTTACAAAGTTTTTTTTTAGTGAAAAAGACGAATAATTGAGTAAAATTTGTCAAAATTTTACCCAATTTTTGCCTCATCTTTTTACGTACGTACATACTAAACTTTGAGTAAATTTTATACAACTTTTATACATTCAGAGTGGGTTATGTTATAAAGTTTTAAAAATAATGCGAAGTTTTTGAAAACCAAGTAAAATTAAATGCACCCTGAATTTTATACTAAATTCAGAGCAATGTTAACTTGATAAGGAGTAAAATTTGCTCTGGATTTGGTAGTTTTAGAATTCAGAGTGCATTCACTTTTCGAAACATAATTTTGAAGCGTGGGTAAAATAATAATTTTTTGACGTACTGGAGTTTCAGTAAGGTCAGCGTCTTCTTTTGGCGTGGTATTCTGCTGGGTGGATAAGAAAATGGGGAATTATTTATGACAAGTTTTGATAAAATAAAATAACATTCTGGTTACCTTTTGTTTGCCCTTCTTCAGGGGAGCTTTCCGCCCTGGGCTGTTTCCTTTGGGGGGTTACTCCCCAAATTATTATTCCCTTCTATTATTATTCACTATTATTATTCACTCCTTCCCCCGTGGTTATTCCCCCACGGGGGAAGGAGGGTCGGGGATGGAGTAATCCGCGTCCTGAGAGGAAGAAATATGTGTTTTATTTCAATCTCGTGATTAGGTGGGGAGGTAATTCAACGCACGCAGTCAATTGCTAACTTTGTAAAATAATTGTATAAAATCCATACCTGTTAACTTTCATTCATTTGATTGGTTATGATAGTGAATGCAAGTTAATTTCCTGTGATTTGAATGAAAATGATTGAAATATTCCGTCATTTCAGATGAGTGACTGTGAATGAAAAATTTCTCACTCATTTCATCCTTCACCCTATGCTTAATACATGGGGCTAAGTAAGAAATGAAGGCAGATGAAGTGAAGTGAAATGAAATGAATTTCAACGTATGGGTATAAATATGACTGAATGTGAATGAAAATCTTCAGTCAGATATCGGGATGACTGAACTTTGAATGAAAACAGTTTTTTTGAACAGGTATGACAAAATCAAACTACTTAAATATAACCTTCAACCAAAGAGAAAGTTTGTTAGAAATATTTGTGGAAATTTTCTACGTTTACGGATTTACAGGGTTGCTAAGAACTGCGTGAATTGTATAATTTAGGCAATTGTTCTGGTATGGTTGGAATTGGAATTTCAATTTTAGATTGAGCCAATTCACTCACAATGGAGGTCTCCCAACGTATGCTCACAGATTTGGACGAAATTAGTGTCAATCGATCACAAATATAATTAGTTTGTAATTTGCAAATGGAACTATCTGCCAATACGCAGGTTTGGCGGAGATATTGGCATCCAAACCGGGATAAATGCGCAGAAAATTTGGAAAATGAAAAATTCGCCAGCCTTTTGGTGCGTTTTCTCCTCCTTTTATGCAAATATCTCCGCCAAACCTGCACATTGGCAGATAGTTCCATTTGCAAATTTGATACTAATTATATTTGTGATCGATTGACACTAGTTTGGTCCAAATCTGTGAGTATACGTTGGGAGACCTCCATTGTCAGTTAACTTTGTAAAATGATTTTACAAACTTGTACAAAATGAGGAGACGCCTTTCTTGATTTGAGTAAGTTTACTAAAATGCGTATGTATGTAAGCTAATTTTCGTTAGAAATATGGGTATATTTTGCAAAACAAAAGTTTGACTATTTTGAAGGAATTATGGAGTGTACAAGGTTACCAAGCACTGCGTGAATTGTGTCGTAAATAATTTTTTGGCGTATGTAAAATGTGCATACTTTGGAATCAGGGTGGAGTTCATCGTCACTGTCAATAGCAGCGTCTTCTTTTAGTGTGGCGTCCAACTGGATGGATAAATAATTGCGGATTAATTAGTTAAATTGACGGTATTCATTTTGAGTTCGAATCGTTAGCAACGCTCGCAAAAAAATAAAGTTCGCAAGTTCGCAAAAAAAATTGGCTTGAAAATCATTTTGCGAACTTGCGCATCTCCAAGGCTAGTATTTATGTAGTTCGCAAAATATTTTTCACAATTTTTTCAATGGGAAAAGTCCATAAATCTCTATTCGTTACTGAAGCTTGGCCTTTTGAATTTTCTTATTTGGTAAATTTCAGATGCAAAATTTCGGTAACTAATGGAAATTAACGCATTTTGCCAATTGCAAAATTCGAGACATTTGAGTAAAATTTTCAGAAATTTGTCATTTGCGAAGTGTCTTCACTTCGTTGCTTCGCAAAATTCGCAACTTCGAAAACGTTATGTTGCGATGCGAACATGCGAACTCGTAATGAATACCCTCATTAATTGTGCTTAATTACTAAAATTTGCGTGAACGCTTTGTACCATTTGGTTACATTTTATGGCAGCTTTTCGACCTCCATTTGTCAGAACCGCGCCCACTGAAGAAGTCGCCTGAGCGGAAGACAAATTAAATTTTTATACGAAGTGGAGATATTTTTTTCATTAAAAAATTTACTTTAAGATGACCAATTGTGTGCGATTTAGTGCGAAAAAGAGCATTTTCATGTATTTCTTCGGATTGTTCGCGTACTTCCAACTGGAGGAATTATATGCAGAAAATTTACATATTTGTTTATCTAGTTTCGATTTAGTTGAATAGTTAAGAAATAAATGACAAGTTACGGTTTGTTTTCTGGAATTTTTCGCAGTATTTTTCGCATTTTGTACTAAATTTTTAGATTTGCCAATATTCCGAGAAAGCGTCATTCTTGAGCAGATTGCGTTCAGTTGAAGAGAAACGATATCTCCGGGAGGATTCTGGGGAGAAGAAAAAATTGTGCCAATTTTTATTTGCATTTTTTTTTGTCAAAATAATTTTGCAACAAAATATTTACGTCTCGTCGTATAATCTTTTTTGAAGGAGAAGGAAGATAACATTCGTCCTCCTCGTCGGCGAATGTTTCTGAATTGTAAGGAATTTCATGACGCGTGTCGAAAGGGCTTGGATCAAATTCAGATTTTAAAGTGTCAGGAACAATTTCCACGTTTTCGAAATCCATCATTTCCTCGTCATCGTGGGTCGTCGGGTCGGGAGGAAGAAAACCTGTGAAAAGATGTAAAAATATGTAAATTTATTCATGTTTAAATTAATTAATTGCGAATTATCTAAATTAAAATTATATTAATTGAATTATGCTAAAGCTAATTAATTACCAATTAATTATGCAAATCTGCGCGTAAATTAATTATTTTAAACATAGTAATTAAATTTATACCAAAATTTTCCTCGCTCACGATTCCATCCGCGACGAGATAACTTCTTATCGCTTCGGGCGCCGTACTGGTTCCTTCCTCTTCCTGTTTGACGATGACGACCCGTTTGACCGCCTTGTCTCGTAAAGCGTCCAACTTTACGCCGACTTCGTGAATTTGGACGAATAACTGGTGACCTTGAGACACAATGTCGTCACACGTTGGACAGAGCGCAATCCATTCGGCGGGATGACCGTGGTCCTGTAAAAGTTGGGCGCAGCGGGTGGGCGCGAGGCGGAAGAGGTGGCGGAGAAGAAAGATGACCCGGGCGCTGGAGTTGACCGAGGGCGCGGGGGAAGATGGGTGGCGGTGTCGCGGAGGGGGTCAAAGTCAAGGTTCGCGGTGGTGGTGGTGGCGGAGTAGCAAATTAAGCACGTGTCCATAATTAACTACCTCAAAAAGGAGAAAAGGAAGAATAATTAGTACAATTATTCGCCTAAAAATTTACGGAAACTTAAAATATCGGCAGAAAACATTGTAAAATCCGTAAATTCAGAAACCCTCGCGAAATTTTAGAAACATTTTTGACGACAATTATGTAGCATAAAAATTTTTGTCGTTGGCGATGGCGTATTTCTATTTTGTAAAAGTTTGTAAAATTATTTTTTTAAATATAAAATGCACCATACACCAGTTAATTGCTGTAATATTTTTTAAACAGGATTAAAATTAGAAACCGTTCTGGTTAATGAAATTATTTAGAAACTGAATGTTGTGGTTTCTTACCAATTAAATATTTAAGACGTCACGTGCGAATATATTTTTCTGATGGTGAAGGATTACAAAATCCTACATTTTCGTGGCAATTATTTAGCGTAGTGAAAGTAAATTCGATATGTGACAACTTGACGATATTTAGATAAGTGTGGAAGGGTACATATGTACCTTGGATTCGCTATAATTAATAATTACAATGCTGCATTAGCTAATTAATTGTTAGCGAAGTAAAAAGTCTTCGCAAAAAAATATTAGGTTAAAAATCAGCTGCCGTGTTGTACAGACTGGGCAAATACCGCCAGAAAGGGGATGGGGTGACGTGATCTCTTTGTCTCCTCTGGTTTCATGCATTTACATAAGTTTAAGGTGGTATAGTATGCGGGTTTTGAGTTTTAATTGTTGCGTCTCAACTTTCCCTTCTTCCATATATTCAAATGGCGATTTTGAAACCTCATCATCTCCGCGAGTTTTTTACAATATGAAGATTTTAATGGACCTAAAAATCGATAATTTTTAGGTTTACAAAGTTGCGCTGGTCTGATCTTTATGTTTTTCTTCCATGAGAAAATATTTAAGTTTTACTGATTATTTTTCGTCTATTTTATATGCATTTTCTCATGAAGAAAAACATAAAGATCAGACCAGCGCAACTTTGTAAACCTAAAAGTTATCGATTTTTAGGTCCATTAAAATCTTCATATTGTAAAAATTCAGGGAGATGATTAGGTTTCAAAATCGCCATTTGAATATATGGAAGAAGGGAAAGTTGAGACGTAACAATTCAAACTCAAAACTCGCATGCTATACCACCTTAACCTCGTTTTGACCAAATTTCCTCTGAAATTCCTCCTTTTCCATTATTTCTTACAATGCTAATGTTCCCACATGTCCCCCAACTTCCGCCGCCACTGGAACTGCATGCATAAATACATGCACTGATTTAATAAACTAGCGAATAAGCCCGTCTCCCGCCGGGCGAGAGCTTAATAGATTTTCATGAAAAGTGAGTGGGATTGTGCATAATTCCACCGAATTATTATTTTTATTGTATCTACGCTGGAAATGTCTGTTGGCAAGGCAGTGAATGTAAATGTTACGTAATTGCAGCTTAAGTGGTTTCCATTAAATTTAACTTCGCTTTAAGGTACGGTGGCCAAGATAACCAATATAACTATTATTAGATAAACACTCCATTCCCAGATAACCACCATCAGACAACCAATAACAATGGTCCCATTTATATTGTAATCCTGGATCAAAAACCCCATCGGTTTTTCCTAAAGTCACGAACAATGAGAAGGTGTCAGGTGGTTATCACCGATCGAGATCGGACTTTTATTTTAAATTGTTCACACTCAGAAATATGTACATAAGCCGACCCGTATTTTTGCGTTTTCCCGAATTGGCACGTTAGGCAGCATTTTCGAAAAAAAAATCAGCCAAAATCAGGATTTTTAAAGACCCTGTAACATTCGAATTTTCACCCCATTTAAAAAATTAAACTCAATTTGTGTTCAGACTTATTTACATACATACATCCCTGAAACTATAAAAATTCAATGTTAAAATTTTTAAAATTTTGATATTTTCAAACCATTTCTGAATTTTTAAAAATGCTGAAAACGATGATGTTTTAAAAATGATTTTTTTATATTTTCAAGAAAGTAATTCTGAACACGAATTGTGTCTAATTTTTGAAATCGGGTTTAAATTCGAAAAGTTGCAGCATTTTAAAAAATCCCAATTTTGGCTGAAATGTTTTTTAAAAATTCCGCCACGGGCGTAAACATGCCCATTCAGAAAAACGAAAAAATACGGGTCCACTTATTTTGGAGCGCGAAAAATTTAAATTTAAAGTCCAGCCTCGATCGGTGATAACCACCTCACACCTCTCCATTGTAAGAAAGCTCTTTTATTGAAACTTTAGTGGAGACTTTTTACCGTGCAAACCTTATGGAACGCAGTCTATGTTCGTATAAACATAGGTTTCTTATTAGAGTTCGGGTTACAAGATACATATTTTAAAATTATTGTGACTCGTAGGCGTGTTGAAGAATAACCATGTCCCGATCTCCTTGCTCTCGTTTATCACTCATTTGCTTATTTGTAAGGATAATTTCCTACCTCGGAAATCCATCAGCGTCCTCGACATCGACTCCTCCCATCTTCCCACCACTAAATACAAATGGCGGGCTTTATTATAATGCAGGTAAGAAATTAATCAAGATCTTTACGACTTACGAAATTCATCAATTTCATGTTCGACGATCTTTTCGACTTATGTGGAAGCAAATTAAAATCCACAATTACATAGAATCTCTTGTAATAATGCGATGGTGTGAAGTGTAACCTTCGGATTCGGTTGAAATTTTGAAATTGTGTTGTCCATGTCAATACAACCAACGTTTCTTCAGGCAGTTTGTGCGATGGTTAGAGAATTTGCCAATTTTTTCAAAAGATTTGAAGGCAAAGTTGAAAAATATGCGATTTGTTGCACGGGAAGAGAATTGAGTTGGCTTCATCGGCACGATAAAATCGCCCGTTTTTAAACTTCGCCCTCAAATATTTTGAAAAAATTGGCGAATCGCACAAACTGCCTGAAGAAACGTTGGTTGTATTGACGGGGACCACATAATTTCAAAATTTCAGCCAAATCTGAGGGTTACACTTCACACCATCGCATTGCAAGTAATAAATCCGCATTTTCCTCAGATTTACCAGGTGGTGCTAGACAAAACTGTTGGGAAATTAGGCCACTTTCTGTGTGGGATTATGGAACAATTACTTCACCTGATTATCCTGGAGGTACTTAATCAGTCATGATTGGGCTAATCATAATAAATAGAGGATTTAAAAACGGGATACGGGTAACTCGGCGAATCCACTGTCGTCGAACGGGCTACTCGTCGAATGGGGAACTCGTCAGAGAGTATTGGTCGAATTTAAGTGTCATTGACCTCAATGTTGCGTCTAGTGGTCTCAACGGTTCTCGGCTCTGACCGAACCAAACCGGAACCGGCCGGTTCTTCCTGTACTGTACAAACACAAACCCGTAATTTTATTACCTGCTCGGTTCGGTTCCGGAAAGATTTTTCAAAATAAGCAAATCGACGAAGTTTAAAATATTATTTTCGACCACTTGCCCTTACGATGAGTTACCCTTCAGAGACTAGTCGTCTTCGACGAGTTCTCCTTTCGACGAGTTCTCCTTTCGACGAGTTCTCATTTCGACGAGGTCTCCTTTCTACGACTACTTTTTCGACGAGCTACCCTAGACCCTTTAAAAAAAATAGGATTTACCTACATTAATATATCCGTATTTATGTTTCTATAACTCTGATCAGGCCATAGCCCTTCTCTCTTTTGTCAGTGGCTACTCCTCGCACCAGGAGGGACGATTATCCATGCCACAATTTTTGATATTTATATCCAAACTTGGGAAGATAACCGGGTCGATTCATTATCCATTTCAAGGGATGGTAACCTCATCAGCGTGGAAAATTACTCTGGCAATCAGAACGACAAGACCCCATTCACCATTCAGTCAATCGGCACCAGGTTGGGGATTAGATTGAAACTAGCAAATCTAGTAAATCTTGCGCCTTTCAGGTCAGTTAAATTAAATATGTAGATATGTACGTGAAATAAAATCAGTGTGTGCAGAGCAAAAAGGCAGGCAGCGCCTTTTTGCCTGCCTCTTTGCCTTTTTGCCTTTTTGCCCTTTTGCTAATTGGGGCGAGATGAGACGAAAAACCTGTGATAAATTTAAAGTGAAAGTGGTTAATTTCGTTTTTTATTCTTTTCGTAAATATAATCTTTAGCCCAAAATTTTATTAATTAAGCTGATGACGATATAGATATATTCTTTAATCTCTTGAATATGTTATAAACGCCAAGAAATTGGGCTCATTCACCAAGAATAGAGCAAAAAGGCATTAAAATGGCAAAAAGGCATTAAAAAGGCAAAAAGGCAAAAGGGCATTGAAAAAGGGAAAAAGGCATGAAGAAATAGCAAAAAGGCTGCCTTGTTGCACACACAGAGTAAAATAATTGCCAGACTAAAATAATTCTCCAAATAATCAAATTTAATAGTTAATTAGTGGGTTTAAACTGTCCTACGTCGTCAAACCGGTTGACCCATCAGAAGGCGACTTTGAAAGTAACGATGACGGAATTTGTGGTCGATCAACGTACCCAGGATTAACGCCTAGCCTTCCAAAAACAGCGGGAAACGGTCAAGTTTCAAAAGCTACCGTAAATGGTAACAGTTCTCGAATTTTTGGTAACAACCCGGCCGATCGTTACTCTTTGCCTTGGATGGTATCAATACGTATTGACAACAAATTTTCTTGCGGTGGTTTCATCATTGACGATTCCCATGTTATGACGGCTGGTGTGTAGCTTTTGTGAATAACTTTCGACTTACAATTCGAATTAGAGACCGAGATAAGAAGATACAGGATGTCCCAAAAGTGTTTGTCCCAAAAGAAGGACAAAATATTCTCATTGCACCCGACATATGTATCGTTGTAATATTTAATTCTTAAAAGACCTAAGTGCAGTTGATGGTTAATTCATAGAAGTACCACGTGTACAGAAATAAAAGGAAAAAAAGATCTACGTGCAAGGATGTACATATGTATTTACTTATGGCTCAATAGCGCGAGATATGAATAATCGTTTTAGCAAGATATAGTCATAAGTAAATAAACACATACTAGCACATATCTAGGTCTTTTTTTCCTTTTATTTCTATAAACTTAGGTCTTTTATGAATTAAACATCAACTGAACTTACAATGCGATGAGGTCAGGGGTCTCCCTCCAATTTTGATGAAGCCACGATAATTATGTAGAATTGGGTAAATAATTGAACAATGTTTCGGGATTTTTCATAATGCTCAGTTTAAACAAAGTTATGATGGTATAAGTGGCCGAAAATTCGTATTTTTCTCGTGAAGTCTTTGAAGAAAAATGCGAAGTTTCGGCCACTTATATCATCATAACTTTGTTTAAACTGAGCATTATGAAAAATCCTGAAACGCTGTCCAATTATTTACCCAATTATACATAATTATCGTGGCTTCATCAAAATCGGAGCGAGACAGCTGGCGTCATCGCCTTATTCGATGAATTAGTAAATACACATATACAAACACTTTATGACACTCTGAGCTTACTAGTAAATTTACTTCTAAACAGAGTTGGGAACTAATCCGGATTAGTCAATGTGTTGAAATGGTCAATCCTAATCCCTAATCCCTCTATCTTTTAACATTGGATAATCTGGATTAGTTCCCAACTCTGCTTCTAAATCACACTTGGGTTTTTCTCCAATAGCCAGTTGTACATTCCGTGCGGAAAAAATCACGAAATTGTTGATCGGGGCTCACGACATTAGCGCGTTACACGAAGAACTCCCTCGTATCGTGGTGAACGTGAGAAAAGAGGATATTTTCGCACATCCCAAGTATTATGAAGATCTTCTCATTATAAACCATGACATTGCCATTATTCGTCTTCCCGACAAGCTCACATTTGCCGACAACATACGACCAGTGTGTCTACCAAATCGGAAATATTTAGCAGAAACTTTTGAGGGTGCGGTAAGCTATGGAGACCAGGGTTCGGAAAACCTCGGGGGTTTTTAGGTTTTTTAAGGAGTTTTTGTAGATTTTGGGGCAGTTTGAACCATTAAAATTATATCTTAGAGAAAAACTAATTTAATATACGAATTCAGCCTGCAATTTTAAGCGTTATTATTGACTTGAAGTATTAAATCGAAAATTCATGTTTATATAACAAGTAAACCTTGAAATATGCAATAATACTTGGAAATTGAAGTCACAAATGATAACTTTCAAGATTTCATGACGAATCCGGAAATTTAATTAGCATTGATCTAACCTGTACGTATGTAGCTTAAGGGATTTTGTTTCAATATGCCCCAAAGTCTTACAGAAACCCACAAAATCCCGGGGTGGCGAACCCTGCTTGAAACGAGGCAAGTTTTTAGATGTGATATAAAATATAAATAAAATATTTGAAATAATCTCAATAAGGACGTGACTGTTGTCGGGTGATGTATCACAGCTGATCATGGAATGCCAAGTTCTGTCCTGCAGAAGACTAATTTAACCATGTTGGGTAACCCAGCTTGTAAAGAGTTCCTATACATTAACGGAAACAATATTTGTGCCGGGACGACGCGAACCCAGTCAGCATGCGATGGTGATAACGGCGGTCCCATGATGATCCGCGAAGGAGATGACCTCCTCCGATACACCGCCGTGGGAATATTTTCTTACGGCGGTTCCATTTGTGAGGGTGGATACAACCTGGTGTTTACGAGGATTACGGCTTTTATGGATTATATTTCTAAGATTACTGGAAGGAAACTTTAAACTTTTTTGAAAGTCCGAGTTAAATACAAAACAGCAGAATGCTTGAAGATTGTGGTAGAAATCAAATCAAGCATTGTGTAATATCCATGTTGTAGTAGGGTTCGTTGCCCAGGGGTTTTGCGCTTTGGGGTTTTATAGGTTTTTGTGGGATTTTCCGTGGCTTTTGTGGGTTTTTCAAAGGTTTTGTGTAGTTTTCCGGGGTTTTTGTGTGGTTTTCCGGTGTTCTTCCATGATTTTGGAGTCATATGAAACAAGTTTATTTAAAATACATATTAGAATTTGGTTTACATGCTGTTATTTCAATTTTCAAAAGTTTATGTACTAATCAAATTCTTTACATCATGGAAGATAATTTTCGAAAATTAAATATAAAATAAATTGTCCTGTTACATTGTCCTGTTTGAGTATATTCGACTTGGGGGCGTACAGGTCACACTATGGGATAGGGGTCAGAGTACTCCGATAGTGTATCACATTCCTTTAATATGCCCACATTGCGTCCATTCATACCTGTTCATGAAAACTTTCTTCATTCATAGTTTAGTCATCCTGATTTCTGAAATTTTAATCCACATTCAGTCATTTTCCTTCAAACTCATTTTACTTCACGTCATCTGACTTCATTTCTTACCTCGCCCCATGTAATAAGCTTTTTTATTAGGATGACAAATGAAAGGAGTGAGAAATCCTTTCCTTTACAGTGAATCATGAAAATGAAAATGAGTCATTTTCATTCAAATGACAGGAAATTCATTTTCATTCACTATCATGCTCTATCATAATCAGTTACATGAATGAAGGTGAACACGCATGTGTGCATTGACGCATTCGTACGACGCATACGACGTTGAATTGCAAAGTGGTAATATTTAATTGAATTTAGAAAGGCTGTATCGTCGAAGAGGGAAATTACATTTGTGCAAATGAAGATTTAACACGTTGAGTTTGGATACCAAATTTACATTTTTATATTTACATATACATGAATATAAATAATCAATTTTCTTCCGGGCTTATCTTCGGAACTTACAGATATTAAACGTCAAAATCGTTATTACGGAGGCGCCTAACCCCCCCCCCTCGGTATGCTAAATGTGCAAATACCCTTACTTTGATAATAATGATGTATGGTCTGATAACCTTGTTTGGTATACCGGCAACATGTCATGTGCGAGAAGTGCTTTTATTAGGTACATATGCAGATTTATTACTGAAATTAAAATATCATCCTTAATCTTCCTTCTAAAAGATAGTAACCTTGATATTTTTCATTTTTTTTAGCTGCTATGATTCCTGGGAAATGTTTAATGGATTTAAACCTACTTGTCTAACATTCATATTTAACTCATGATCAGTGCAAGGCATATTAGACGATTAAAATGTTGGAACAATTGCTTTACGCATGCGAAATAGGTATATTCTGCGAGTAGTAAAGTAACAATTGTGTTCAAGATCATCACTCGGTCTTTTTGGGTACTGGCTTTACTTGTATCACCTTTGACACATTTCTCTTCGCACACCTACCCACAATTGGGCACCCTGTGCCAAGATGAATTTATCCGCATCCCATCCGCGTCTCCATAAGCTTCAACTTTTCGCCCATTAACGCCACAACTCCTACCCCAATGATGAATCCGCAATTAGCGACATTTTACGTAAGTCTTATTGTGGTGCCATTTGCTAAATAATGGACCAATTAATTTCTTATGAAGTCTATGTTCTCTCAAATACTACAATTGTTGTTCCAATATATGTATGGTAAACTAACACTACGGATATTAAACTGTTAGAATAACCAGGCGTTTGGGCAGAAAACTTATCTCAGTCGACAAAAAAATTTCGTAGAAGTAGAATTTATAAATTTTACCAATTCGGAAAACAGCTTACTTTTAGCTGAAAATAGGCTCGCCCCATTTTACAGACAGTTGCCATTGATAATCTGCACTTCAATTGTAATTATGTATGTATGATATCCGCTATACTTCAAAATTTCGGCAGGATTAGAAAAATAGATATTTTCCAGACACACGGTGTAGTATGTTTGGACTGACCATTAGGTATGAGAAAATATTGTCTAGGTAACTGAGACCCTGTATATGTACAGATAGCTCACAGTTATTGCACTGCTATTGCCTTCCTACCGACGCTCTAGCCGTTAATTCTCTATTGGCGTCATTGCGATTTATGAATAAATCATATATTCAAGACACAAAGCTTGCCAATTCCCAGTACATACTTACATAAGTATGGTTTTTGCACGACTTATCTGGTGATATTTGCACCGCGGCCAGTGGTGATTATCTAAAGTATTCTTGACACGCAAACGAGTATGTTATTTAATTAACTTTAAGCATTATATTTAACCATTACTCAAATTGTTTGGGGGCTGAAATACATGTGTTCGGATGTTGGAAAGGGCAACCTGGCTGAAAAAGGCACGCGATGACGGGACCTCGCTACCCTCTACATAGACGACAAAAGTAATTAATTCTTGTTTATACTTTATATAATTAAAATATATTACAAAGTATATTTAGGTCGGTAAGGTTTTCTCGACTAGCGTTGATATGAGAGCATTATTTACCAATGACAAAATTTAAACATTAGTATGTTTGACTTATGGAAAAATTTCCAGCTTAAAGTCTACAGAAGGTACTCGAAGTCCCGATAATACGTAGGTGTTTTATTATTAATTTTCAAAAGGTATGTTCCGCACTGTTTCTGACCAAAATTGTGATGAAATAACAAACTTCAAATACATTTAGGAGGCTGTGATTTTTTTCAGTTCTTAAGGTTAACGTCAACACTAGCAATAAATCGGCAAACTTTACCTCGACGGAAAAAATGCTAGATTTGCAAATTAAATATCGTAGTGTGATTTAATTATTAATGCTGGATAGGCAATACGTGTCGCAGATTTATGGTTGAATGCTTAAAATGTACAATGAGAACTGCCCAACACGAAACACAAATTCAATTGGGTCAATAATTTTTAATTATGGCGAAACGAGGTCTCGGGCAAAAAGTCGCAAGGACGCTCAAAATCCGCTTCTTCCACAGAAAGGCTCCGGAAACTAGAGGAACCAATAATGAGAGATCCGCGATTGAAACTGTCCTATTTAGCAGATGAGATGGGTGTTCCAAAACCAGCAATTTGTTCCATGTTAACTGAAGACTTAGGTATGAAAATGGTTTCCGTCCGTTGGGTACCAAAATTGCTTTCGGCATCTCACAAACAGGATCGAGTCGACTTTTGCAATGCAAATTTTAACCTATTAAATGAAAACTGGAACCTGCTCAATATTTTATTGGCTGCATATGGTACTTGGGTTTACTATTATGACCCGGTGACCAAATAATAATTCCCTCATTGGAAGCACGAGGGGTTGCCACCGCCCGTGAATTGAAAAGTGCAAAAATCTGACAAAAAAATTGATGATGACCATTTTCAAGGATACCAAAGGTCCCCTCCTTATAAAATTTATTGCTGCTAATACTGCAATAAATGGGGCCGTGTATGCAGGAACCCCGAAGGAGCTGCGTCCTCCGGTTGAAAAGAAACGTGGGGTCAAAATAAAGAGTTGGCCTTTTTTTAGACGACAACGCGCCACCTCATACCTGGCTTTTTGCGAGGGTTAGTGCAGACGAAAATCGCTTTACCTGCACAAACCACGCCCCGTGCAGTCCAGACTTGTCCCTTAGTGATTATTATTCGTTTCGAAACTTAAAGAAAAACATCAGGGGAAAACGGTTTTCGGATGATAATGAAATCAAGTCGTAACTTTTGGCATATTTTCGAGGTAAATTTTAATGAGTTATTGCTAGTGTTAATGTTAACCTACAGAACTGAAAAAAATCACAGCATCCTAAAAGTATTTGAAGTTTGTTATTTCATCAAAAGTTTGGTCAGTGCGGAACATACCTTTTGAAAATTAATAATAAAACACCCACGTATTGCCAAGTCTTAACAAACACTATTGGCTTTGATGAAACAAATCAAGCAGCATTTTGTACAATAATTTTGATTTATTCACTTTAAAAAATCAGCAACATCCTGTTTTTGTTCGACCTTAATGAGTTTGATCCTGAGGCATAGATTCAAATTGGTTTTAAAAAAAAACTATTTTTATATCTAGCGTAAAACGTTTGTGGCTTAGCGTCTATTACAAGAAGCCGTATACTTCAATAATTTAAATAAAATGTTTGGTTTATAAAATGCATACCAGGCAGACAGCTTAGAACCCAAACGACATTACCCGTGAGTTGTGTAATATATGTATATTGTAAGCTAAATATATTACACAAGTGGTGACAGAAGTTAATAATAAACTAATTTTTTGTATTTGCGTAAATATGATTTAAGTATGCAAATGACCGCAACAATAATTCAATTACACGTAACGTGTATGTTTTAACACTTGACCTAGTCGCTGGTTCTTATGACCTTCAGACCTTTATATTCTGGATGCAAATTCTGAGAGACGGGAAGGGAGACATCGATTTAATAAACGCATTATAAGAAGATTTGAAACAGATGGGTTTTTCTGTACAAGGCACATTCCATTTCAACTCACACGTTGGTCGTCGCACCCATATTTGATATCGTGTCTATATTATTATAATAGGTGCATGATATAAAATTGAACATACCATAAAAATCAAAATTTGAAAATTAATTTTTTTCGACAAGATAAAGGGTGTTGATTTAATTCGATCACACTTTTCCTGTAAATTTTTGAGGAGCTATTACTCATAATTGGTAAAATTTATGAAGTCAATTTTTTTATCAGACATACCTTGATAAGTGGTCTTTCCATCAGGAACTTCATTCATCCGTCAACTCTTTGTTACAGACTCTGTGATCATTTTTTTAAAGATTATTTTATAAAAAAATCCCAAGATTTCTTGAACTTTTGTGATAACGTCTTTCCTTGCTCAATGTTTTGGATCTTGTGCACGTTTTCCTTCAGTATGTACAACATACTATCCTGGGAATACGG